TAGCAGGAAGTGGGAACCATTTAAGCTGCACAACCGTCCTGCGTTTCCTCCAGGAGATGCACATTTCTAGTTTGATTAACAGTCAAATCAGCCATTTGGTACAAGTTATTCATTTCTCAGTGAGGAGAAAAGAATGGAAGCTGTAATAAAGGTAAAGAGAGACACACTGAACACTCAAAGAGCCGAGATTAGATTTAGCAGATTAGGATTCTGTGTAATTTTCATTTAAACATGTTTTTCCACTGTTTTTCCTGATGCTGAAAAACGAATAACTTATACTTAACGACCGTTTTGAGTGGAAATCAAACAAATGAAGGGGTCTCTGACTTTTTCACAGTGCTGTATGTCCAGCGCAGTGTGAGTGTGGTAAATTTGTGTGTGTTATTCATGGGTGTAACTGAGCTGATCAGTAACTCAGAGCTGCTCTGTCACAGTCTGGGACAGTCCTTCCTCAGTGTGGAGCGGTCAGTTAAAGTTTAACTCCAGTGAGGAATTCACCAGCGTCAGGTGTGGCCTTCACTGTGAACACTCACCAAACAGTAATAAAGGATGTGTCACCGGCCATAACAGACCCCCCACACACACACGCAGCACCCACGCATACACTATACGGCCAAAAGTATGAGAACGCCTGACCATCACACCTGTATGAGGTTGTTGGAGGTCACATTCCAAAAGCTTGTGCATTAATATGTTTCACTCAGACTTCCTTAGACAAGTAGATCTTAAATCTAATCTCATCACAAACACATCTCTTACATCAAAGATCTACGGTAATAACATACATACAATATCTGTAGTTCTATATATAAAAATACTACGGTAACACTTTCTATGAATGTCACCTTTGTAAGCATCTATAAACACATTCATGACACGTTATAATGCATTCATAAGGCTATAAATATTTATAAAAATGCATTACATGTTATAGCCATGCTTATTATGCATTGTGAATTGTTAACATAATACATTATAAGTACTGATCATAACAAATTATAAGAGCTCATAAGTCGTATTTGTCTGCTCTAAGTAAAGTGAAGCGTACTGTACTAAAGCCTCCTCCAGTGTTCAGAGTGAGGCTTCAAGTTGAAGTATTTACTGAAGGATTTACTGAAACACTAAAACATTCACAGTAAAGCACATTACAGGCTTCAAATGACAGAGTTTAAACTAGAGCTGCCATCAGTGTTTTACCCAATGTGGGAAAGGTAATGTACACCACCGTTAGCTTGGTATTTGTCTTTACTTTACGCTCTCCAAGCTGGGACTGACTTCTTTGGCACTGACAGTATAACATGTTATTAACACTATTTATAATGCATTATATTAAGAATTCATAATGTATAATAAACATGGCTATAAAGTGTAATCCAGTGTAATTAATTTTTATAAATGTTTATAATCATGTTTATAATGCAGTATGAAGGCATTATAACATGTTACAAATGTGTTTATAGATGCTTACAAACATGACATTCATAGAAAGTGTTACCAATACTACTACTACTAATAATAATAATGGTAATGATAATATAATAAGAATAACATAATAGTAACAATTAAGGATCCATCAATACCGATACTGGTGTTTCTGGTAGTTCTGTATATACTACCAATACTCCTACTACTACTAACAATAATAATAATAATAATAATAATAATAATAATAATAATACTTAACTGCGATGGACTGGCGACCTGTCCAGGATGTATCCTGCCTTCCGCCCAATGATAGCTGGGATAGGCTCCAGCACCCCACCGCGACCCAGAAGGATAAGCGGTTTAGATGATGTATGTATGTATGTATATTAATACTTAAGGATGCATAGATTCTGATACTGGTACTGGGCCGATACTGTGTTTATTTACTCATACTCATAAAAATGTACCCATACCAACATTCTGACACAAGCGTACCATGTGACGTTAGCCAAGTGTAGGTTCTGCGCTAACAAACAAACACAGCGAAGGAGGATCTGCTCACTCAGAGAAGAGTTACTGACTCCATCACAGTCGGACACAAAGCCGTCACTCATTCTGCTTTGGAAGATTCCCTCCAGGAATACACTGCGTGGTTTTAGCTCATTTTTAAACACACACAAATACAACCGCTTCCCCAGTATGAATGGAGACACAGGTCGGCTAAATAAGTCGATATTTGCTGCCAAAGTCCATCTATGCTGACTTTACTCTGACAACTGAATCAAATTGTGAGGTGTAAATGGTGATTTTTTAAACTGACTGTGTAAATCAGGCTGTAGACAGACCGAACTGTCCTACCGTGAACATCAGTGCCTGCTTTATCTTCAGTGCTCACTGTTAGCAGTGTGTTTGCTCAGTACTCAGTTATTCTGAATGAATCAGCTTTATTGATAACGGTCCATAGACAGAGTGTCTGTAGAGGCTGTGTTTCACGTAGCAGGTCAGTCAGACGGAGTGTGAGTTTATAAATCATAGATTTATCTGAACACGATGGTCTATTCAAACGTACAGTGTGAGTATATAAATCGTAGCTTTGTCTGAACACGATGGTCTATTCAAACGTACAGTGTGAGTATATAAATCGTAGCTTTGTCTGAAAACGATGGTCTATTCAAACGTACAGTGTGAGTATATAAATCGTAGCTTTGTCTGAAAACGATGGTCTATTCAAACGTACAGTGTGAGTACATAAATCGTAACTTTTTGCGTTTCACGTAGCAGGTCAGTCAGACGGAGCGTTTCGTACAGTGTGAGTTTATAAATCATAGATTTATCTGAACACGATGGTCTATTCAAACGTACAGTGAGAGTCACCAAAGAACAAGATTTCTAAAATCACAGTGTCTGTCTGGCTTTAGAGGACATTCAGCTACAGCTTAGCCATCCAATCAAATGACTCCAACAAGACGGAAAACTGGAAGCGTGAGCTCCTCGGATGCGTCAGCCTCGGATGTGATTCCTGCTGTTGCTGTGCTGCTGCTGGAAGAGACAGATGAGGATCAAAACTATGAAACCTACTTTACTTACAGCTGTACAGAAGAGCTTTTCTGATGGGGAACTAAAGCTCCACTGCAGCGCTGCTTGATCAGAGATCACTAATGTAGCAGGGCTAGATAACGACCTTCATTAACATCAGATAGATTTAATGATATCTGACTTGGTATCAACAAGTACTAAAAACTATGTACTCATACTCGATCTGAAAAAAAAAACAGTGTAGATGCATAATTATTAATAATAACAATAATGATACATTCTCCTTTGTATAAAATAACAACAATAATGCACGTGTCATGTACTGTAGTAAACTACGCTCTTAAAACGATGGTTCTTCAAAGGTTCCTTATAAAAAACAATGGCTCTATATAGAACCAAGAACACTCAAAGAACCATTTACAGTTATCTGAGTGTTCATGGTTCTATACAGCACCATGGCTCTGCTATATTTAGTCACACACAGAGATGTTCTGTATACACTCTCTTACAGTTTAACTGGCCTGAAGATCTGAGAGACTCTTATCTGTGTTTGTCCCTCCGTCCTTCTTTCCTCTGCTCTGGGGTGTTTCTGATACTCGCAAACTTCCCATAAAAGGATGAAGTTCTGCTTGTGGTAAAAAAAATACAATGTTCTTGTTTCACTGTCCAGTTTACGTGCTGATGCTCATATAAACTGACCATGATGCCACCAAAGCCTGCAGTTACAGAAAAGATGTAGCTAACAAGTAATGGAAACTTATACTTCACTAATTCGCACCATGCTATTGGTGAGGTCCATCTTATCAGCTCTGCTGACCATATAGTTTCACTCTGTAGTTCTACAATTACAGACTGTAGTCCATCTGCTTCTCTGCACACATTGTTACCCCGTTCCTTAGTGGTCAGGACCCCCACAGAGCAGGTACTATTTGGGTGGTGGATCATTCTCAGCACAGCAGAAACACTGACGTGGTGGTGATGTGTTGGTGTTGCGCTGGTCTAAGTGGATCAGACACAGCAGTGCTGCTGGAGTTTTTAAACACTGTGTCCACTCACTGTCCACTCTATTAGACACTCCTACCTTGTCAGTCCACCTTGTAGATGTAAAGTCAGAGACGATAGCTCATCTGCTGCTGCACAGTTTGTGTTGGTCATCCTCTAGTCCTTCATCAGTGGTCACAGGACGCTGCCCACAGGACGCTGTTGGCTGGATATTTTTGGTTGGTGGACTATTCTCAGTCCAGCAGCGACACTGAGGTGTTTAAAAACTCCAGCAGCACTGCTGTGTCTGATCCACTCAGACCAGCACAACACACACTAACACACCACCACCACGTCAGTGTTACTGCAGTGCTGAGAATGACCCACCACCCAAATAGTACCTGCTCTGTGAGGGTCCATGGGGGTCCTGACCACTGAAGAACAGGGTAAAAGGGGGCTAACAAAGTATCAGAGAAACAGATGGACTACAGTCTGTAACTGTAGAACTACAAAGTGCACCTATATAGTAAGTGGAGCTGATAAAATGGACAATGAGTGGAGAAACAAGGAGGTGGTCATAATGTTATGCCTGATCGGAGTATATGTACTGTATATACAGTTGTATGCAAAAGTTTGAGCGCCCCAGGTGATAGAATCCAAACCCCAACGAACCAGGGAACTAGGTCTGTTGTCTGGACAAATGAAGTTTATTCGTTGTGCGCACAGGTTCCAGACAGCCAGCCAGCCCGTAAGACAATGGACTGTCACAGTTTTATAGCTGGACTGATGCCAAGATTAGACCCAGCTTATACAGGACAAGTGACAGGTGTGACAGACATGACCATATAAGGAGAAACACAACAATAGGCAGCCTAAAATACAACTTCAGCACCTTCACACACAACATGGCACATTTCACAACAATAAATTCCTTCATTCCCCCCTCAGAACATACTACAAAATGTATGTTCTCACAAGCTTAATCAATCAATTTTTTCCTCTTTCAGAGAAATATGGCCAGTATTTCCCTCTTTCTTCACGTCCTAAAGACAGGTCTCTTTCCCTTCAGTCCGCATACAGGCAAATTGGGGAAATGAAGTGGTTCCATGGTTATAAGGAACGCCTATGCCGGTGGAGTTTAGTCATTAAACACCAGAGTAATTTGAGGCAAAAGTAAATAACAATAGCAACTATTACTGGCGCTACAAAAGGAAGTACATAACGGAGCAGTTGCTGTAAGATTCCAGAAAATATATCTCCAAAAATGTTGCCAACCCAGTTAAAGAACTTATCAAGCGATCCCTCCAGAGCAGGATTTGGAATGAGTCTATGAAGGTCTGCTACGTATTTATCAATATTTTCATAGTTATCTGGGACATAGATACAGCAGGAGGTATTGAGAATGTGACATACCCCTCCTTTTTCTAAGGTCAGCAAGTCTAAAACCTTCCTATTCTCCAGCACTGCTTCTCGTAACGCATGGAGTTCATCATTTACTAAGCGGAGAGCTTCACTAGTCTCATTAGCTAGTTTCTGTGTGGAATAAGCCAAATAATTTATCTTCTGTAAGGCATCTACAACACCTCCAAATGGAAATATTCCCCACCCTACTGTCTGCGCTATACTAGACCAGAGGTCCTTTATAATGTGACCATTCCATGTTTGTTTACCTGTTAAGGTAATGCCAAGTTCTCTTTTCATACGAAGTAAAAGTCCATGAGATTGTAATGTGATCCATGGATCGGTATGGACTGTAATAGGAGGCATGACTACAGCCATGTAACAGGAACCGCACCATGAATCAGATGGGAGTGATGGATAAGACTTGTTTCCACAAACCCAGTAGAAACCCAAAGGGAGTGGTTCCTTCATCCAAATACCGCATGGGTTGGTATTTGTGGTGGTAGAATGTTTACACCAAAATGTGCCATTCATAGAGAAGGCAGAGATTGAAACAGAACATGTACTGTTACCAAGATAAGTATCCTCTGGATAATGTTTGTCAATACATACCCAGCCTGAGGAAGCCCTCACAGGAATGGGATCTGCTACTCCATAATTCCAGCTAGATTTGTCCCGATAATCACGCGCTATAGTTAAATTTGGATAAACCATAAAGTTGTAATTAGTACTATCAACTCTAACAGTATACTGCCAGCCAACAATCCGGGAGCTATCAGCATTAGGATTGTAACAGGCAGCTCTATTTGACCTGAGGCATCTAACAATAGGAAATGACCTGTTATCTTCACTTATACCATCTACCATCATTTGTGCTATTATTCTCATTGGTTCAGATGCAGAATGGTCTGTACATAAAGCTTGCGCAGAAATGTTAGACATTGGGATCACATAATAGCAGTGATGCAAGGCATGGCAAACAACCATCACCTCTTTTGTGTCCACAGGATGGCCTGAGCACAGACCATGTTGTGGTCACAAACATCCTCCATCATGCCTGCAAAAGCTATTGTCAGGATGTTTATGAAAACTACAGATTTCATTCTTCTTTATTCCCTTTTTGTTATAAAAGTATTTTTATTATGCAGCTTGTTGCAGTGGTAGCCATCTTCTCTTCCAGAATATAGGGGGAAAGTGTTGATGTGTCCAAACAGCTCACAGGGTAGCGTCAGGGGACCTAGATAGGCTTTAATGTCAGTTCGTCGACCACCCTTCAGGAACCCGTCTGATGTCCTGTTCCTTCGTCACAGTCTCCGGTCTGCTCTGGGTATATCCTGGAAACAAAACAGACAGACACTGCGGCAGCATCATATTCTTAATACACAACCCATGTCGTATGCCCTAGTATAAAGGTTTGGTTTAGCCCTTGTAATGGATACCTTTTTTCCCTACCTAACCTGGGTCCTGGCCTCTGCTGGGAGTAGGGGAGCGCTAGTTGCAAAGGGGAATTAGGAAGATCTTCACTCCTGAGGTTGACCCCCATGACCTAAACATCATAGTTCCTCCTCAGAGCATCTCCCAACCAGAGTCACCCATTTTATCCCTAAACTAGCCATCACCATCAGGTGGTGGTACCACCTTGGTATGGCTCACATGTATCCATTTTGCATTTCCTTGGCATTTTAGAGCAGAGGGTGTAGTAAGGAGGACCTGATATGGTCCTTCCCACTTTGGCCCTAATGGCTGAGTGTTATGCACTTTAACCATTACCCACATACCTGCAACGATAGGATAACCCCCCCTTAGTAGGTTCTTTCCATGCATCCAACACTTGGTTCTGAGTAGCGGCAACAGCCTCAGATAATGTCTGGTCGTATTGCAGCAGACTATCAGACATAACATGTATGTCTTCTGCTCTTAAATCAATAGTTCCTGGAAGTGACATAGGATGATCAGTAATAATCTCATATGGTCACAGCTGGGTACTTCTGTTAGTTGAAGCTCTGATGCTGCAAAGTACAGCCGGTAAAGCTTCCACCCATGAACCCCTTCATGATGTAACTTGGTCAGTCTGGACTTTAAAGTTCTGTTCATCCTTTCAACCTGACCTGATGCTTGAGGTCGATAGGGACAGTGGAGATGCCACTTTATCTCCAACAACCTTGCTACTTCTTGACAAACCTTCCAAGTAAAGTGAGTTCCTTGATCACTCTCAGTGACCCTTGGGAGACCCCACCTTGGGATAAAATCTTTCACCAGACATTTAGCGGTATGCAGGGCGGTGCCTTTAGTAGTGGCGTATCCCTCAATCCACCTTGAGAACTTGCAAATTATTATCAAACAGTCCTGTTTTCCCTGGCATCGTGGCAAAGTGATGTAATCTACCTACAATTCTTGAAACGGGCCACTTGGTGGTGTTACAGTTTGGTAGGGGAGGGAGACTGCAAGTCCTGGGTTTGCCTTAAGACAGGTGGTGCAAGATAGACAATGGCTCTCCGCATACTTGCGGAATTTAGGATTCCACCATACTTGGTTGAAGCGATGTACCATCTGGGTTACTCCAGGGTGACCTAGACTATGTATGGTAGCCACCAAATAGGGAAGCAAGGCATCAGGAGCCACATATTTACCCCTTAACCCAGATACCATCGCGAAGAGCTGCACCTCGCTCAACCCAAGTCCAAACTTCCAAACCCAGGGCCTGCTGGTATAAAGCAAGTAGATCAGCCAAAATTTTAACAGGTTGTTCACAGGGTGACAGGATATATTCAATAGGCAAAAGACAAGCCCTTTTTGCTGTATTATCAGCTAAACAGTTACCTTGGTGTTCAGAAGATGTGGCAGAAGAATGGGCTTTTATTTTAATAATAGCAACCTGTTTTGGAAGTGTGAGTGCTTCCATTAGGTCTGCCACCTGCTAAGCATTTTTCTCTAGGGTTCCAATTGCTGTCAAGAAATGTCTCTGCTTCCATAACAAGCCAAAATCATGGCATATGCCATGGACATACATTGAATCAACAAATACATTTGCTTTTAAATCTTTAGCAAGCACACAGGCACGAGTTAGTGCTACCAGTTCTGCCTGTTGTGTGGAATAATGATCTGGCAATCTGCCGGTAGCTATTTTTTCATACTGTGTTGTGACAGCCCACCCTGTGCGTCGTTGAAAGAATCTTGTCCTTTTAAGAGCAAAGAGGAAACTCAGTGTGGACATTTCAACGAGAACTTAATCCAAAACAATTGAAGCAACAGCTAAAACCACACAAATAGTTTGCCTGGGTTGCTCTCAGGCAGGTGACATTCCAATCATAACCGTGTCTATTTTAGCAGAGTACTAAAACACAGACCTCTCTTTGTCACCATGAGTTTGAGTTAAACAGTTAAACACAAATCCTAGTGATTTTGAAACATACAGTGTGAACAGTAGTTACACGTTCACTAGTCCTAGGGCACCGCATAATGCAAGTTTAAGAAAATGAAACTCTTAACTGATCATAAGTTAGCTGAAACTCAGGTTTAAGAAGTTAGATCATATAGTGGTTAAACAGTTTTTGCATAAACCTCAATTCAAGGTTGTCAATAATTGCACAACCCCAGAAAAGATTGCAGCTGTGCTAACATATCAAGTAATAAAACAGCACACACTGTGGCACAACAGTCAGGTAAAATTTGCTTCTGAGCCTGCAAAACCAGCTGTCTTAAATACTGAACAGAGGACTGATTAATCTTTCTAAAAGAGGCTTTGTGTCCTACAGAATGTAGATAATCTAACAAAGCTAGCAAGTCATGTTCATGTTCCTCTGCATTTGAGGAAGCTATCAAAATAATACCTGACAATGTTGCATTATTAATTTCATACTGCTTAGTATTCAGACAAGGAAAACCCAGTCAGGTTGACACGTTCAACTTTAGGAGCCACAATCTGCAAGAGATTTGGACCACTTCAGGCATAAAAAATAAAACTAATACCTTGCCCCATGAGCTGATTGATGACAGCTAATGCCTCCATGACAACACAGGACAACCATAAAAACTTGCACAGACCCCAGTACAGGTCAGCGCTACTTTGGCTTTTAAACACAGCTTCGGTTGTATCTGAAACTCAACCCTGAGCTTTCCAGGAAGTTAGTCCCAGTCACTATATCAAACTTAATTTAAACATCAAACTTTTCCTTACGTTTATACTTCCACAGGCCTATTTTGCCTTGGAGGTCGCATGCATTAAGACATGTTCTGCGAGTTTGCTCTCTACTTGTTTGCCCGAATGACATATTTAGCTTCTCATCTAGGGACCATATTTTATCTGAATGAACAGGCACTTTCTTTTGATAGTATTTGTCCAAACTCGATGAGTCTATATGTTTATATAACTGTTAATCCGCTCTGACATTGAAAACATTATCAGACCTATCAGGTGCCACCCTACCACCCCTCTGTGTGGTAGCCTTCTCTCCTGCCATGGGCTTATGGGAACACTACCGCGGTCTTCCCCTCTGTTCCATCAACGAGAGGAGGATAACCTACTGGTTTCAGGGTTTGCTTCGAAATGGGCACTCACCTAGAGATGAGATGTCCAATCCGGATAACGGCACCACTTGATAGAATCCAAACCCCAACGAACCAGGGAACTAGGTCTGTTGTCTGGACAAATGAAGTTTATTCGTTGTGCGCACAGGTTCCAGACAGCCAGCCAGCCCGTAAGACAATGGACTGTCACAGTTTTATAGCTGGACTGATGCCAAGATTAGACCCAGCTTATACAGGACAAGTGACAGGTGTGACAGACATGACCATATAAGGAGAAACACAACAATAGGCAGCCTAAAATACAATTTCAGCACCTTCACACACAACACAGCACATTTCACAACAATAAATTCCTTCACAGGTTAAACAACGCTTTATTGATCTTCATGTCCTCAGTGGAGTCTCTGACTTATTTGCAGTTTAACATCACCATAAAATAAAGTACCACAAAACCATAAAATAAAAAAATACCATAAAACCATAAAATGTAAAATGTGCCATAACTTTTGCACAGGTAACATTTTATGTTTCTTGTTATTCCCCCAATATGTTAAATCCAGCAAATAAACAGTAATTGTGCATTAAAATATGCTCTGAAGTGTGTTCTCTGTAGAGGATGTGTTAGTGAACGTCCCTGCCTGCGGTCACTCGGTTTAACTGCGCTATTTGCTTGGCCTTATCAGAGATTATCAGAGTGCGGTTTGCAGGAGGAGAGTTTACACGGCTGTTACTGTAAAACCTGAATGGACACGTCGTGGCTGCTTTCACCAGAAGTGATTATGATTGTGCGTATTTGTGTTTCTCAAGTGCTTCCAGTGCTTGAATGCGGCTGTCAATCCTGGTTCTGCATGGCTGAGGAACAATGGTCAAGGTAAACAGCAGCAGGTTTAGAGCAGGCCGGCCTCGACACAGCCAGAGAAACGCTGCACACAGCTTCAGCTAAAAGCCTGTCTGAACACGAGTCCTCACAGAACATCAATAGCACCAACGGCTGACTGACTCGTTTCATAAAGGCAGCATAACAATCACTCATACCAGACTCTGTGGTGCAAGTTCGAGTCTCTGTGGTGCGAGTTCGAGTCTCTGTGGTGCGAGTTCGAGTCTCTGAGGTACAAGTTTGAATTGAGTCTCTGATGTGCGGGTCTGAGTCGAGTCTCTGAAGTGAGAGTCTAAATCGAGTCTCGAGTCTCTGAGGTGCGAGTCTGAGTTTGTGTCTCAAGCCTCTACGGTGTGAAACCGAGTCAAGTATCTGAGGTGTGAGTCTGAGTCAAGTCTTAAGTCTCTGAGGTGTGAGACCGAGTCAAGTCTCTGAGGTGTGAGTCCGAGTCGAGTCTCTATGTTGCGAGTCTGAGTCAAGTCTCGAGTCTCTGGGTTGCAAGTCTAAGTCAAGTCTCGAGTGTCTGAGATGTGAGTTTGAGTCTTGAGTCTCTGAGGTGTGAGTCTGAGTTGAGTCTGAGTTTCTCAGGTGTGAGTCTGAGTTGAGTCTGAGTCTCTGACGTGTGAACCTGAGACAAATCTTCGAGATGTGAGTCCGAAATGAGTCTCTGAGGGGTGAGTCTGAGTTGAGTCTTGAGTCTCTGAGTTGTGAGTCCAAGTCGAGTATCTGAGGTGCAAGTCCAAGTCTCTAGGTGTGAGTCTGAGTCAAGTCCAGTTGATTCTCACGTCTCTGAGGTGCGAGTCTGAATCGAGTCTCTGATGTGCGAGTCTGAATTGAGTCTCGAGTTTCTGAGGTTCGAGTCTGAGTCAAGCATCTGAGATGCGAATCTGAGTCGAGTTTGAGTCTCTGAGTTGCAAGTCTAAGTCAAGTCTCAAGTTTCTGAGATGTCAGTTTGAGTCAAGTCTCTGGGTTGCAAGTCTGAGACAAGCCTATGAGATGCGAGTCTGAGTCGTGTCTCAAGTCTTTGAGGTGCGAGTCTGAATTTAGACTGATAGTTAAATCTGCAATTGTGGATTCATTTAGTTCTCAGAGCCACAATTAAGAAACAAATGGAATTATCAAACATGTAAACTCATCCCATGTAATTCTACTGTTAAGTTATTTAATTGAACGCTAAAATGTTTATTAAAATCTATCAGTTTTTACAACAAAAACAATAATAATAATAATAATAATAATAATAATAATAATAATATAATGTTAACAATAACATTGCAATGATAGAAGACTTTCTAATAAACACTGACTAAGATGCACTTGAATCAGTGTATATATGTGTACTTAAAATTCATACTGCAATTTTTTAACCAGACCCCCATGGGAAAGACCACCTGGCTAGTGGCCCCCATGTAATTTGAGCTTTAGACAAAACAGGTCTTAGGATGGCACCAAAACATGTACACCTGCATTAAAAACATTCTGAAAAGCTAGTAGGTTTATAACACTATATACTATATTGTATATAGTAAAGTAGGTGAAAACCATTGAAACCAGTGCTGAGACGGTGATTCAGGTGGAAGCCTTTAAAAAGCTATTTAATAACATGTCTAACAGTGACAGAACTAGGAGTGGTGTGTGGAATCAGTCTTATCACACACCGAAACTATCTCTGTCTCACATGCACAGTAAGCCCATCCCACTGAGTCTCAGCGCACGGTCAAATCAGCTCTAACAGTTCAAACAGGAGGAGTTGAGCAGGAGAACGTGAGAGGAACCTTAGCAGAGCTGAGAGAAGCTTTAGAGCAGTGCAGACTGTAGACCTCGTACACTTTTCTAACCTCCTCTTCTACTTCAGGCGCATCTCCTGTCAGGATGTGCACAGGAAAGTGTGCGCGCTTCATCGCCGGAGCGTTGTATCCTCTGGCCTTCATCTCTGTCCTCTGCAACATCATCCTGTTCTTCCCCGGATGGTCAGTTAAATACGCAAAGGATGGAAATCTCACCGAAGAAGTGAAGTACATGGGGGGTTTGATCGGAGGAGGACTGATGGTGAGTTCGTAAAACATTAATTATAATGAAAATACAGAGAAAATGCTGGATCTTAAAGGCTTGTGCCAGAGTTTGCACTTTCTGTTTAAGCTTAGCTGCACTTTTATCACTTTGCTTCACTATTAATCTATAATTAATAATAATAGTGTATGTTTTTGTTTACATGGCATCTATAGCACGCCAGAAAGACTATAATAAAATGTGTAAAATATTAGTGTAATTCAAAAGAACTAATAGACAGTAAAGCAGGTAAACTGTTTAGATATTAAATGCAATATTAAATAAGGGTTTTTTAATATATAAAACTGATCTGGGTTGTAATGTATTTATGTGGTAGATCTCCACCCCAGTTATATTGATCCTGAATGGACTCCCTGTTCATTTCTCATTTGCTACCACGCCCTAAAGTTCTTTATGCTATTTGCACTCCCCCACTGGTCAGTTAGAACTGACCCCAGATCGGTCAGAAAATAAAGACGTCCATGGCTGGACATTCCTGAGAAGCTTTAGCGAGTGTGCAGACGGAGTGTTTTTGTCTGCAGTCCCACACTGGTTTTCTGTTCTCTTTCCACACTCTTAACAATGAAGGTTCCTAAACGGTTCTTGGCTCTGCATTTTGCTTCTAGGAGAAATCGTTACTGGTTTAGAAAAGGGGGGGGGCAAAACTTTTTGCCATGGGGGGCCAAAGCGCAAAGTTTGTGGTGGGCCAAAGACCTAAATTATGTACAAATAATGTGTTTGGTCTCTCACTGTGTGGTGTGGGTGTAACTTTCTGGCCGAATCAAACGTCCTTCCACTCGTTTACCTGAATTCCCCCTATAACTCAGTGTGTGAGGTGAAATCAGAGTGATTCAGAGTGGTTTGGTGTGAAATGGTTCAGATGTCTTTACAGTGGTGGTGATAGGAACCAGGGGTCGCCATGACTACAACACAAATATAGACATTTTATTTACTATCCAGAACCACCAGTGAACCACGAGTCTTCTGAGTTTATATGGAATGTTGATGATGGAAAATAGTGGAAAATCTGAAATAATAAGTTTTCTTTGGGGACTATTTTGCCTCACAGCGCCCTGCATGTATCCCTCCACCATGAATGGAGTTTAAGTTCTCTAAACTATCATAAAACAGTGTCTCAGTCATCAGGCAGTGAATTCATAACCATTTCATGTAGGAACTTTCTGTGAGGGAGCTTTTAGAGGTGGACGTCTGGTTCCTATCACCACCACTGTGAACAGTTCTGACTCGGTAAGTTTATCTAGAACAGAGCGTTTCACACCAAACCACTCTGACCGGCTCTGTTTACATCGTAATCATTGAATTATGCAGAATTTGTGACAAATCAGTAATCAATAATTCCCCATTAAAAAGGTTCTTCACACTCTTATTACTCTTATTATTTTTAAGAATGTATTGGGAAACATTTTGAGAGGCTTAAGAGTCTTTTTGTCCTTGTATTATTACAGTAATGTAATTACTTTTCCTGAAGTAACACACTACAGTTTAAACTACTGTAATCACATTAAAGAAGAATTCTGTCTCTGAGAGAACAATATTAATCACATACGATGCATTGAAATCTTAAGGTTTCTCTATGTAGATTATTTGAGTGTGCACCTGCATGTAATTGGCGTATGCTGACTCTGTGAGTGTGAGCAGCGCAGTACGAGTGCGGGAAGCTCTGTCAACTCAGCCATCAGTCTATCCAATCATCTAATCATGCTGATACGAAAGTGATGGATAAAGATCTCTGTGCTAAAGAAGAGAAGCTCAGCAAACAGACCAGAACTCCATTCACGAACAGCTCTGTATCTTTTACACGTTATTCAGTTCATATCAGCTGATTTTGAACTGTTTTCTACTAAAACAGCATCAGTTCATCACTGTAATCCGTAGAACTGTGTGCTGTTTAAAGTCAGTGACACTGACAGAGCTGTTAAATCAAGTTTGGTACTGAAAGGAATATTGAACTTCCTCCTGTATTTTCCAGCTACAGATCTGTGTAGGTTTAGAGAGTCCCTCAGAAGTAAAGTAATGAGAAGTAATCAGCGTGATCCAGTTACAGTTTGACCATTTGTAATGGACTTTGAGTAACTATGGCCATGTTTACTAAAGGCCTTCTTGCGGAGACAAAACAATATAACGTAATCGTGGAGAAAACGAACAACCGCAAAGGGGTTCTTTCAACATGGCAGTTCGGCGAACTCCGAGGATGAAGACACTACGCGACAAAGCCTGTGAATGGTCGGTAAAAAAGAGGCGTGCCATGAAACAAAGTTGGACGACTTCGAGAAGCTTTATTTCGCAAGAAGTACGATGAGCGCCATTATTTCCCTGTTAAACAAACAATGAATACTTCCTAAGCCTGTTATTCGGTAGTACTAATTAGTAGTGAGCACCAAAACATATAGATTATCTTACAATTAGGTTCACAAGAAGACGAGGGTGAAGTCGGCTTCCTATTTGCCAGCTTCTTGTTTGAATTTTCCTGTTCCACCTTTCATAGATCGGTCAGAAAATGAAGACGTATATAGCTGGACACTCCTGAGAAGTTTGCAGATGGAGTGTTTTTATCTGCAGTCTAACACTTTGTGGTTTTCAGTTCTCTCTACAGGCTCTTAACAATGTTCCTAAGTGGTTCTTGGCTCGGCCTTTTGCTTCTAGGAGAATTCGTTATTGGTATAGAACAGGGGCGTCAAATCAAATGTCCTTCCACTCATTTACCCGAATACCCCCATAATTCCATGTGTGAGATGTACTCGCACGTCACCGTTGTGAGAACTATGATAGAATAGTTTTCCAGTAGTCATGGAACTTGTCATAAAATGTCATTGCATCACCTGCATTAGTGGAGCATCCGTGACAGGCAAAACAAAACCGCAGAAAGTATGTGAGCTCGTAAGCTCCGCCCCTGGAGAAAGAAGATGCTGAGGCCTTAAAAGCCGCACTAATTACTGAGGGGCGTGGCTAATTTAGCAGTTTATCTACTAAGGCCTGGTTCAGACTGCCAGCCCAGATCTGATTTTTGTCCAGACTGTATCCAGATTAATTTTTGATAGTCTGAACAGCAAAAACACATGAAACCCAATTTCTGCAAATCAGATCCAAACCACATTTGGAGGTGCGTCTCAGTCTGGATGCTCAGATTGGATTTCAAAGTGTCAAGAAGAGCTCCGAAGATTCATGATGATGAAGAGAATCCTGAAGAATTTGGAGGGGAGATGATGCTCCTCCATCTCTCCTGCATCCACGACTGAAATCCGCATCACCAGTGTAGCTAAGTAGTTACTGACGCCTACATCGTTACCACAGCAACCGATGCAGATAGACTGGTGATGTCTGGACACACAAATCTGATCTGATCACATGCAGATAACAGAGTGGACAGTCGACTCGAAAGATCTGATTTGAGAAACAAGTCTTATTCGCCTGAATTCGCCCAAGAACTTCCACATTAATGACCACAGGCGCAACTTTGGGGTTAACGTATGCAATATAAGCAGCAATATAAGGTCAAAATAGTGACTCAATAAAGTAGCAGTTATTCTTTGAGAAATCAGGTGATTAATTTCGACATAATACGGCACTGAATTGTGAAAATAAGATTGCAACATAAAAAATTAGACGTTGACGCAACAGGGAGGGCCTCTGAGCTAACCGCGTGTGAAACATCATGCCAATGGCCAATATTGTTTAGCTCCGCCCACTGCTGCGCAGTGATGTCATCAAAAAATCAGAAGACACTTTAGAGACAGGACTAAACTCATCACATTTAGATGGAAGGCAGGAATTCTTTTGAATGATGCGAGATGATAAATCATGCCTAATGTGAACAGAGACACAAACTAACAAGGTTAAAGATCAGTTCAGATTTCTGGTCCACTGTAAATTTGATTTTCTAGACAGAGAGAGGAAATCCAGCCCTGTTTGCTCCCTGAGAGCCGCGTGTGATTCATGCAAAGGTAAACAGTTTGGGTGTGTACAGCACAAAGCCATGACCTTCAGCATTAAATACACAGTCAGGGTAAGAATGCATAGGAGTAAAGACTCTAACAGACAGGTTTTCTTAAAAAAATCTCACTTACCAGCCAAGACATGGACTAGCTCCTGGTTTCCAGGTGGCTGCTGCTGTTTTCAGCTATGCTGATGCACTTTAGTCCAGTGTATCTCAGCCCTGGTCCTGGAAGCCCACTGTCCTGCACATTGTAGTGCTTTTCCTGCTTTAACACACCCACGTTAACTCAATAACGGGCTGTTAATGAGCCTGTGATGAGTCAGATTAGGTGTGCTGGGAGCAGAGAAAACTCTAAAAAGTGCAGGACCAGGACTGAGGAACTTTGCTTTACTCCATGTTTTTACATAACAATAAAACAGTAGTATCTAAAAGCACACAGCCAAGTCTATTAGAGATCACTTAAAAGGGCTCATATCTTATGTTATTGTATTTGTTTTATTTATAAGTCCACTTATAATGTTTGCATGGTTTTATGTACCAAAAACTGTCATAATTCATTTTTTCATGACCCCTTTTCATCCCTTAGAATTAAACAGAAGGTGCCTTTAAAATTGACATACGTAATAATATCTTTATTTGTAAATAAATATGAATATATGTAAATATCTTTGTTTAACATATGACATGTTTTTGTTCTGATTGGCTATGACTCGTTCAAAAAGCAGCCCAGGCTGAAACACAACTTATAACTTCAGTGTAAGTGGGCGGGGCTAAAGCGCTGTAGGCCAAATAGGCAGATATATGTAAATGTGTTAGTTTTTGTGACATCACAGAAACAAAACAGCAGCGTAGTTTCCATGTATGGACAGTCTGCACTGGCTAGTGAATGGTATGTTTTGAAACTTTTAGAATATTTACATCCAGCATCAAACTCAGCACAAAAACACTGAATTTAAACCAGCCTGATTTTGCATAGCCATTGCTGTGGTACCCCAGGAGGTTCCTAAGGTGTTGCTAGGTGCTGTAAAACAGCCTGATTTTGCATTTTATCTTTCATATATGGACTTAGGAGTGAACAGTACATTTTGTGTTTGCATATTACAATAAACGTTAGCCACATTAGCCTTGTAGCTCCAGGGCTAAAACTAAAGAAGCACAAAAAGGTCAATTTTTTGCCAAACTATCACTTTAAAGTGGGTTTCAAAGCATCAAATCGATCCACTTCTTGTTTCTCTTTTTTTTGACCTCTCTCTTTTCTTCTTTCTCTCAGGTTTTAGCTCCCGCCCTCTTTATTCATCTGACTGGAAGTCAGGGATGCTGTGGAAACCGCTGTGGGGTGAGTGTCAAATAAGCCCCATGCTCACTACTTAGTGTGCACTATGGTAGATAGATGGCCACTTAAAGGGCCCATATCCTCCATTTTTCTTGTACTTTACTCTCACCTGTGCTTGTGTGAGTGCCACAAAATATCGTAATTTATTTTCCAGCTTTTCTTTATCCCTTAAAATTAAACAGGCTGTTTCTGTTACCGTCCCTTTAAGGCTGATATATGTAAATGAGCTCTGTTCTGATTGGCTGGACTGTATTGTGCCTCGTTCAAAAAGCAGTCCAGGCTAAACTGCTGAATATGTGCGTATGAGTTAATGTGTTGTTTTTTGTTTCATCAAAAAAGTTCAGAACAGGTTGTTTTTGCACCTTAGTTTCCATATATGGACTGTATGCACTGAGGAGTGAACCATATGTTACGTTACATCAAACCCGTTAGGAAAACTATCTGTTTGCTTATAATCGCTTTGATTAGTTTGTTCCAACACACGAAACTACTGACTGTCTGTCACATGAGAGCTACACATTGCAAGAGTGCAGAAAAACCACACGAGCGAGAGAGAGAGAGGGAGAGAGAGAGAGAGAGAGAGAGAGAGAGAGAGAGAGAGACATAAGTGGAAGTTCAAATCTACTTATGCTAGCATGTGTTTCCATGGAGACGGAGAGTAAAAACACAAACACTTCACCAAAACCGTCCTCCTGCAGTACTTCAGCTGTAATTCACTCTGTAATTTAGGTTATATTTTGACAACAATAACAACAGCAGCAACCACTGGACCACATGACTCCGCCCTCTGACCTCCCCACTGTAACATCATGTGGAACATAATCAGATAGCATCAATAACTTCATAAAAACTCAACACCCCAATCAGCAGTGAGTCAGTGGTGATAAATACCTCAACAGCCACAACAGCAGTAGTGCCAACCAATCAGCACTCAGTAGCAGTAATGCCAACCAATCAGCTCTCAGGAGCAGTAATGCTAACCAATCAGCACTCAGTAGCAGTAATGCCAACCAACCAGCACTCAGTAGCAGTAGTGCCAACCAACCAGCACTCAGTAGCAGTAAAGCCAACCAATCAGCACTTTGTAGCAGTAATGCCAACCAATCAGCTCTCAGGAGCAGTAATGCTAACCAATCAGCACTCAGTAGCAGTAATGCCAACCAACAAGCACTCAGTAGCAGTAATGCCAACCAACAAGCACTCAGTAGCAGTAATGCCAACCAAGCAGCACTCAGTAGCAGTAAAGCCAACCACTCAGCACTTTGTAGCAGTAATGCCAACCAATCAGCTCTCAGTAGCAGTAAAGCCAACCACTCAGCACTTTGTAGCAGTAATGCCAACCAATCAGCTCTCAGTAGCAGTAAAGCCAACCACTCAGCACTTTGTAGCAGTAATGCCAACCAATCAGCTCTCAGTAGCAGTAAAGCCAACCACTCAGCACTTTGTAGCAGTAAAGCCAACCAATCAGCTCTCAGTAGCAGTAATGCCAACCAATCAGCACTCAGTAGCAGTAGTGCTAACCAATCAGCACTCAGTAGCAGTAAAGCCAACCAATCAGCTCTCAGTAGCAGTAATGCCAACCAATCAGCACTCAGTAGCAGTAGTGCTAACCAATCAGCGCTCAGCAGCAGTAATGCTAACCAATCAGCTCTCAGCAGCAGTGATGTAAGGTAATGCAGTTAGGTCTGTAATTCTCTAATTGCGTTTCTGTGACATCCATGTGAGCTGCAGCTACATACCAGCGCCACACACTGCTCAAAGCCTCTTTATCCTAAACTACATGCTGGTCCTTCAAATCTGCTCCACAGAGAGATGTGTTCTCAGTATTTATCGGTCCAGTTGTGACGAAATTCTCTGCAGCTTCACGCTGGATTTAAACCAGCATCAGGAATAAGACCAAGCCTAAAATGTATTCATGAAGGAGTTCACGTAACTAACAACAAGCAGAACTGAGGCGAAAGTTTGTAAGCAGGCTCTGAGTTGGCTTGACAAAGCTGATGCTATGGAGTCCCAGGCAGTTGCTAAGATGCTGCTATGGTTGCTGTGCTGTCTCAAGTGATTGATAAGGTGTTGCAAGGCCGTTGCTGTTATCCTAGGTGGTTGCTAAAATGTTCCTAGGGCATTGCTATGTTATCCCAGGTGGTTGCTAAGGTGTTGCTAGGTTGTTGCTGTGCTATTCCATGTGGTTGCAAATGTGTTGCTTGGCCATTGTTATGTTATCCCAAGAGGTTGCTAAGGTGTTGTTTGGTGGTTGCTAAGCATTCCCAAGCGGTTGATGATGTGTTGCTAGGCCATTGCTATGCTATTCCAGGTGGCTGCTAAGATGTTCTTTGGCCATTGCTATAGTATCCCAGATGGTTGCTAAGGTGTTGCTAAGCCATTGCTATGCTATCCAAGGCAGTTGCTATGTTATCCCAGGAGGTTCCTAAGGTGTTGCTAGGTGGTGTATCCCAGGTGGTTGCTTACTTTGACTTACTTTGCTGATTGGATTAGTGACAAAATCTGATTTTCTGCAATTATCGGATTATTAAGTGCATGTAGACACAATCAGTGAGGCATATTTACAGCCACGATAGGCAAACGGACATAAAATGTTGTGGCTCTCAAGGTGGTTTGATTTTTGCTGAAAGGACGTTTGAAACGGTTCTTAACGTTTGGGGTTGCGACTCCTGATCTAGTCAAAACATCTAGCTAATGTTTCCCATTTTGAGATGGTTATAAGATTATCTAGCTTATTTCTAGACATTGTTTACTTGTTTTAGGTCATTTTATTAAGTAAAATTATCTCACTATACTGACAGATACTTTTGCTAGTTTTAAGCACGATTCTTACAACAGGCAAAATTATCTAGCAATACAGTGAGATCATATTACCCAATCAAATGACTTAAAACAAGAAGGCAATGTTTCAAAATAAGGTAAATAATCTTAAATTAGGCTCACAACAATCTCAACAGGAGAAATATTAGATTAATCAACTATATTTAAGATAATCTTACGTCACAAGATGCCATTTATTGCCGTGAATAGATCAGGTAAAAGCACATCAAGTGTGGATTTTTTTACATTCACTGCAAGTTTAGCATTTTTTACTGACATAAATGGTGAAAGATCACCTGTCACATCTCGTCAGCTGTTCAAACGGAATTTACATGTGAGAAAACTGGTATTTCCCAGTTTCCAACACCACTTAAACGCAGCATTAAGTAGCTCAAGCTAATTTGCTAAGATAGCTGCTTTTGTTTACAAAGCTGTTGTCTTAATACTCTGCCTTTACAGTGCATTTTGAATCTACACTGTATATAATTTTTCAGAAAAATACTTAAAATATGGATATAAACCGAATTTCTCCTAAATACAAATAAATGAAATTCTGCTTTTGTGTTGTAGATGTTCCTCTCCATCGCCTTTGCAGCACTCGGTGTCGCTGGCGCCCTCTACAGTTTTGTAGTGGCCATGTTAGGGCTGGTGAACGGACCCTACTGCAAAGTACTCCTGATCTGGAGCACACCTTTTAAGGACAGGTAAGAATTCAGCTTCACACAGAGACTTTCAGTCCACGTGCTCTTGCTGATCAATTTTAATACCGAAAATATATATGTAGTTTCATATTTTAGTGCTTTTCACTGTTTTTATCTTTATCTCTCCGACTTCATCTCTTCTCCTCGGAGGTCTGAAAGTTATCTGAATCACCGGAACTGGTGGTCGACGTGCACAGAGCCGGAGAACGTGGTGGAGTTCAATGTAGGTTTGTTTTCGACGCTGCTGGTGACGAGCGGTGTGCAGCTCATCCTGTGTGCCTCTCAGATGATCAACGGCCTTTTCGGCTGCCTCTGCGGAACTTGCAACCAAAAAGGGGTGAGAGAGAGAGAGAGAGAGAGAGAGAGAGAGAGAGAGAGAGAGAGAGCGAGAGAGAGAGAGAGAGAGAGAGAGAGAGAGGGCAAACAAAACCAAACAAATGCTCAAAATGAATAAGATTCGCAAATTATTATTTTAAAAAACTCTCTATTAGTATTTTGCAGCACAGCAAGTGACATGCTTCAAAAAGTAAAGGGGAACTCCACCTATATTTAAAAATATGCATAACTCAGTGTGTGAGATGTAATCAGAGTGACTCAGAGTGGTTTGGTGTGAAATGGTTCAGATGTTTTTACAGTGGTGGTGATAGGAACCAGGGGTCGTCATGACTACAACACAAATATAGACATTTTATTTCACTATCCAAACCACCAGTGAACCTACACGAGTCTTCTGAGTTTATATGGAATGTTGATGATGGAAAATAGTGGAAAATCTGAAATAATAAGTTTTCTTTGGGGACTATTTTGCCTGCATATTATTTATCCCTCCACCATGAATGGATTTTAAGGCCAAAATCTTCTCAAAACTATCATAAAACAGTGTCTCAGTCATCAGGCAGTGAATTCATAACCATTTGATGTAGTAACTTTCTGTGAGGGAGCTTTTAGAGGTGGACGTCTGGTTCCTATCACCACCACTGTGAACTGTTCTGACTCTGTAAGTTTCTCTAGAACGGAGCGTTTCACACCAAACCACTCTGAACGACTCTGATTACATCTTAACTGTTTTATTCCACTTCATCCACCTCTTAGAAAGAGTTCATTAAAAAAAGCAAGGAATTACTAACATTACAGTGACAAGTTTCAAGAGGAAATATATATTTAAACACAGCACCACTGTGCAAAATTAAAATGATAAGCATGTTTATTACACTTTTGTACACGTATCTTTGAATTATTGTGCAAAAATTCTCATTTTCTTCTCTCTTTTTCAGCCTCTGTAGATCTGCACTGTACACTGTGCCTGCTGTACACAGCGCGGTAAAGCAGCAGCCTCTGGTGGACACTTCCTGATACTGCAAGCAGGCCAACACCATGTTATAGGAAGCAGTTGCCTAAATTTACTAATAATCTCAAAATTATTGCTAATGTTTTATTATTGTGGGAGCAAACTCAATGAGTCTGATATGAATAATGTAATAAGACTCCCCTCAGCCTTGTGCCTTGCTTTGCGCTCTAACTGATATCTAAATGACACTGTACCTTTATAACTACAGTGACTCATCTGCTTCATTTTGTATTATTTTACAGTTTAGTTATCCTAAAGTTAACAGTAGCAGCTATTTTTTCACAGATGATTATTGACAGATCTGGTTCTGTTATGGATTGTGTTGGATTTGTTTTGACTTTCATGTTTGTGCACATTGGTGCAGAGAAATAACACAATTCTTACCCGTTCACACACATTTTATCATGATTTTAATGTGTTGTAGTAAATTGCATATTTTTTCACATATACTGAATTGACTGTATGATGTTGCTTATAAAATAATGTATAACCTTTATGAATATATATTCTGTTAAAACATGTACATGACAGGTGTGAAGGTGTTTATTAAATCAATAAGCCACTTGAGGCCATAGATACACATACCTAGATGCCGCTTTGTCTGTTGCTCTCTATCTGAGGCGATACGTCTGCGCGTCCGCCATGTTGGAGAGGTCAAGAGCCGCACACATCAGCAAATCCATCAATGTGTGAATCACTTCTAACCTTAATACACATAAACATAAAATAAACCCCCAAAACACAGTAAGAAGGTCGAAGCTGAAGTTGGCTTCCTATTCGCCAGCTTCTTGTTCGAGTTTTATTTTTATTTTTTCTGTAAAAGCTCCCCTCAAATTAACAGAACGTGTTCGATGATCATAAACATATTGCTATATGCTTACAATTTACTGCTGAAAGCCAAAAATCTTAGACGCTCTTTGTATTATTTCATAAAAATAATTTTTACGGAGCAGATCTGAGTTCAGCTTCTTTTATTATAAGGGTTTAAAATGACATCACCCATCTATTTAACTGGAAAGAAGACAGTTACAGCTCTCATACGACCCCCACCTTTAGAATGTAACTTATGAAATATGAAAGCTATGAAGAATATGACGAAGTGCGTTTTGGAACCACAGGTGGTCTCAAGGAACCATCTACTATATAAAGTTAAGACTCCCTGAATAGACAGTTAGATAAAAATAAGCTTGAAATAAAACCAGAGGAAAAACAATCACATCAACAGGTTCTCTGTGCCTCACCAACCACACGGCCATATCTACACAAACACCACACAGACAACACGCATCACACAGACATGAGTGTGGATCACTGCGTTCCCTCCGTTATATAATCCTATCCCACTGAGTGTGATATTCCTGAAATAGTGTAATTTTAGACAGTATCTTTCTGAAACTGCCGCTCTGTAATGGTACTGAATGCAGTCCAGCAGCGATGTTGACCGCCCCAAAATGGCGGTGCCGTTGACGTGTCTGGCGGGACCCAACGCGGCATCTAGGTATGTATATCCTGCAGCAAAACAGTGCGTAATGTAGCTAAGAAACCGTCTTTTGGGATTCAGACACATCCAGACTCGATAAATGATGCACTTCTTGGCTGTAAAAGCTAGAATTTCTAAACTTTCATAGCTAGAACACTATTTAGGGAGTACGGAGCCGTTTGAGACTCAGCCTGGATTTGACGCTGACGTTACTGCTGACTGAAACACGAACCTTTGAAGCGTGTAAGACAGTCAAGTGACATTTTTTAGACTTTTAAACTGTAGTTTTACAGTTAATCATGTTCTGAGTGCTTTAATTCAAGCCTGCGAGATTAATATTGGCGCTGTTTAGCATGTTTGCTATCTTAGCTAGCTGACCAGCCTGGTTCTAGATAAGAATATAAGTCTCCAGCCCCTCAGTTTAAACAAAAACGGGTTCTTGCTTCATCAGTACACTCGGTGCTCCATGCGATCAGCGATCAGAGTCAAATATTACTAATTAACAGCAGTTTTTCGTGCTGTGGCGCAGTGATACATGATTCAGTTGTGATGCGGTCGTAGCTGTGCATAAATGGCAGGTTTTACAACGGCTTCAAACTCGGCTCAGCCAATCAGATTTTAGGACCGGAACTATCCGTTTTATAATTGACATCTAAACATAAAGTCCATCAACATAAAGAAGATGGTTTAACCCAGTATTTACAGATTAACGCTGTATTACAATCATAAATAAATATGTTTATGCATAAAAATGAACAGATTTAGTTGACTAGAACCGTAAATTGTATGTACTTAAAAAAATTACTATTATAAATTATAACTAACTCTAATCTCAACTGTTCAGTCTCAGTGAGTCTCTCTTTCCCTTTATTCCAGCTTCCATTCTTTTCAGGAGACTCACTTTCAGCTCCTCAAAGAATCTGCAGACACACCTCCAAAGTTCAGTCTTAGAAGCTGGTTGATCATTTTCTGAAGTAATTAAACATGCAGTGATGTTGAGGTCTGGACTCTGGGGTGGTCAGTCCATTGTTCCTTACTTTTTAAATTGGCCATACATTTTTTTATAGTATGTTTAGCCACTTTTTTTCAAATATTTTATTCAATATTCCATAAACGTGAATAAACAGTCTGAATGCTGCATTTAAAACTGTTATTTATTCTCAAATCAACACAGTTTTAGTCATCAGAAAATATTAAGCATCTTTCCAAACATCCTAAAATGCGCTTAAACATTCAGATTCCTCTAACTGTGCGTTAAAAAATGTAAAATCCCATTTCTAAACGTTACAACTTACTGGTTCTCTGGTAAAACACTTTGTTCTGGTAGAAAGCTGGGGCTCAGCTGCTGTGCGACAGTGTTAGAGAGGCAGAATACAGTGCAGCTGTTCTAGCTGCCTTAGTGCACCATATTCTTCATTTTTAAAAGTCTGCGGATGGTGAAACGTTCTGTTTATGCAACGTTTGGTCACCAAAACACAAACAAAACAGCTAAAAATAACAAAGAGCAAGAAATGTCCTTCAAAAATACAAAAATCAGATCATCATAAAGGAGAAACATTATTTAGGCCACAAATCGAGTACGCAGCACAGACTGTACTTCATCAGTCGCTACGCCACTCGCGTGAATAAAAATTCAGTCTATATTTTTATCAGCATGTTCCACCCGGCTGCACAGAACATCTGTCAGAATCAGTGTTTACTGTTAATATTAACAGTACAATATTAAATATTAATATTATTACAGTTTATTACACTGTGTGGGGTGAAATGCAGCTAACGCTTTCTTTTACAGTCCCTTACGTTCTAGATAATAACCAGGCAAGTGTGAGGTACAAATTATTTTGGGTGTCATGATGGTAAGTTGCAAGACAGTCTGACTAAATTGTGCTGAAGTGCCAACAGGTTCTAGATATTAACTGAGTAAGTATGTGGGGTTTTGGGTAACCTGGTGTTAAGTTCCCAGACCGTTTAACTAAAGTTTACTGAAATCCTCAACAGGTTCTAGATATTAACTGGGTAAGTATGAGGTACAAACTCCAAAGTACTAGGTAATTATTTTGGGTAACCTGATGTTAAGTTCCCCGACAACTCTATTACAGTGAAATGCCCAACAGGTTCTAGATATTTACTGTGTAGGTATGTGGTAAAATTTCCAAAAGTACTAGATAATTATTTTGTGTAACCCGATAGAAGTTCCAAGATAGTTTAAATTTTACTGAGATGCTCAACAAGTTCTAGATATTAGCCAAGTAAGTGTGAGGTACAAACTCCAAAGTACTAAATGATTATTTTGGGTAACCTGATGTTAAGTTTCCAGACAGTTTAACTAAAGCTTACTGGAATGGTTCTTCAGACTGATGGAGAATGTGTTGTATGTGGTTCTACATAGAAACATTCTGAAAATGGTTCTGTATAGCCCCTAAAAGGGTTCTGCTATTGTTACAAGCTTGACATCATCACAATAGCAGAACCCTTTTTTGCTGCTATACAGAACCATATACAACACATTCTCCATCAATCTGAAGAACCATTTCACCATGCAAAGAACCTTTAAGCATGCAAATGGTTCTTTGAATGTTCAGAGATCTACACAGAACCATTGTCATCACCTTACAGAAACATCTTTTTAAGAGTGTACTCTGGAGTACTTCTTACTTCCCTGGTTAATATCTAGAACATAGGGGACTGTAAAGGAAAGTGTTAGTGAAATGTAGTGTTTCACACAGTTTAATACGCTGAGATGAACATAAGACATGCGTGGAGTGGAACGTGCTCAGCAAAGAGCACAACTGGAGTTAAAATGGCACCATAGAACATCCTGGGTTGGTTCTGCTTAGAACAAAGCTAAATAAACGTACTAATACTGATCTAACTGATGATATGCTGGAGTATTAACAGAACTCGTGTGCAGAACGGAAACAAGGCGGTCAGTCACCGCACTGGAGAAACGTCTAAAACAATAATAAATAAAACCGAAAGTAGAACGGAGTGATTTCCACAGCACAGGTGAAACAGAGGGAGTTACTTTGGGGCTCTAGATAGGAAACAGCAGCTGGAGTTAACATGAGAGATTCAACGTAGGATTTAACGAAGGATTTAACACTGGATTTAACGTTAACTGTCAAACTGTGACATCATGAGTTTACGACTGGCCTCGTATCCCAGGAAGAGCGCTCCGTTAGCCGGGAACGTTCGGATCATAGTGGGAGTGAGTCCGGAATACAGAGCTCTGACGCCTACAGAGAGAGAAAGAACAGCAACATAACGTAGATCATCATATGAACATTATAGAGCTTTTTAAATGAAACAATAGAAGCCATATCACCCCCTACACTTCCTGTAGTGTATTACAGTCTGTCAAAATGACTGTGTGGATCATATGAACACAGTTGTCTTACCTTCCGTCCTGAAGATGTGCATGAAGGTCTTGAAGAAGCCGGCCTGTCTGCCCGTCATGGACATCACCTGGATCCTGGACTTCACACAGTCCATCGGGTAGACCACCAACCATAAACACGCACCACCTAAACCACCACTAAACACAATGGGGGCCACGCCTAAAGAAAACAAATACACAAACAGACATAAACAGTGTGTCTAAAATCGTTCTTTATTGAAAGGACGACTTAAGAACATTCAGTTCAATGATCCACTCTGCATTTTATAAAGGTACCTATATCATCTTTACTGCAGCGCAGGTGGTCGGCGAAGAACGTGCGGCAGAGCTCGTACGCCCCGAAAAAGCAGAAATATCCGGGCACTTCGCGGGCTATGGTGGTGGTCAGACCCTGGAAAAACCCTGTAGGACCCTCATTCTGGGCGATCGACTTTACAACAGACCACACAGAGCTAAAAGAGAGAGAGAGAGAGAGAGAGAGAGAGAGAAATCAGTCAATACAACAGTATTCACAGTAGCAGCAGTTCTTCTTTTAAAGTTACAGATATTTGCAAAATTCTGATTGACACGTCTCTCAGCCAATCACAGACGTCTCTAAGCACTACTTAAACAATGGTCAGACGCTGATAGCGGCAGACAAGCAATAAAACAATATTGATTTTATGAATCACAGAAGGTATTTTTGATCTGCAAACTGACTGGTTAAATTAAAAGTTATAAAGTATTTAATCACCAAGACGCAGAGATCAAGTGTGGTTTAGTATTATTGCTTTGACTGTGATTCATGTATATATACAGTATATATAGTGAAGATACGTGGCAGAGTGGTGTGACAGTGTGAACAGGAAAAACACTGAATCTGACAGTTTCAGTTCTGATCTGGTTCTCTTTCATACAGAGTCACTGTAAACGGGTGAAAACAGTCCTAAACGCAGGTAAACGCAGGTGAATGCAGGTAAATGTGACGTACTTCTGGGCGGTGGCGATCCGGCCGGACGCTGCCATCTCGTGCATGGCCTGCAGTCTGCATTTCACCAGCTCAGTGGGGCAGAGAACCAAAGAGGAGAACACAGAGGCCACAGAACCCGCACACGCCTTCTGCATATCACTAGAGAGAGAGAGAAAGAGAGAGAGAGAGAGAGAGAGAGAGAGAGAGAATTTAACTTTTTAATTCAAAGATAGTTTTCTTATTTTATTTTGCTTTAGTAACAACAAACAAAATGTAGCGTCAACGTTTCATAGAGAGAGATACAGACAGAGAGAGAGCGAGAGAGAGATTCAGAGAGAGCGAGAGATTCAGAGAGAGAGAGCGAGATACAGAGAGAGAGATTTAGAGAGAGAGAGAGAGAGATACAGAGAGAGAGATTCAGAGAGAGATACAGAGAGAGCGAGATACAGAGAGAGAGAGAGAGAGAGATTCAGAGAGAGAGACACAGACAGAGCGAGAGATACAGAGAGAGAGCAAGAGAGACAGATTCAGAGAGAGAGAGACACACAGACAGAGAGAGAGATACAGACAGAGAGCAAGAGAGACAGATTCAGAGAGAGAGAGATTCAGAGAGAGAGAGACACAGACAGAGAGAGAGCAAGAGAGACAGATTCAGAGAGAGAGAGAGATACAGAGAGCGAGAGAGATTCTGAGAGAGATATACAGACAGAGAGAGAGAGATGCAGACAGAGAGAGAGATAGAGAGAGATTCAGAGAGAGAGAGATACAAACAGAGAGATACAGACAGAGAAAGATACAAACAGACAGAGAGAGAGAGAGATACAAACAAACAGAGAGAGAGAGAGATACAAACAGAGAGAAAGATACAAACAGACAGAGAGAGAGAGATACAGACAGACTGTGTGGAGCTGTTCAGTATCTCTAACAGACTTGATTATGTGGTTTCTGCCTCTGACCTGAGGGCTGCCCCTTTCTCCAGGCTGCAGGTGAAGCGCACCACCTCCTGGCAGAAGCCGTAGCTCATGAAGAGGACGGAGTTCTCAGCGACGTTGGCCATGAGGGCGGGGCTGGTGCCCTGGTAGAGCCCCTTCAGCCCCACCTGCCTGTAGATGGACAGGAAGCAGTGCAGGAAGCCGCGGTAAAGCCCCGGGAACGTCTGCATCTTCACCTTTGCCGTGTCCAGCGGCTGACCGCTGAAGACACACGCTGCACCACCTACGGCAGAAGAAAGAGGGCGCTAACGAATCAATTTCTCTGATCAAAACAGTATTATTCTGTTATACTACATTACCTTTAACACAGCTCAGGTGTGTAATATTTTAATTTTTTCATATTTAATTACTGACGACATCAGGGTTTATCATTATTACTACCTATTATAAAACAGATACAGTTCCAGTGCTAAAATTTGATTGGCTGAGCCTCATTCAAAGCCATAAAATGGACAGATTCATCCATGCTCCGCCCACAAATGTGAATAATAATGAGAAACTGTAGAACAGACTCAGTTTATATCACAATACCTACATTTAGAGTCAGTTATTCATTCAGCCTAATGAGAAACTGTAGAACAGACTCGGTTTATATCACAATACCTACATTTAGAGTCAGTTATTCATTCAGCCTAATGAGAAACTGTAGAACAGACTCGGTTTATATCACAATACCTACATTTAGAGTCAGTTATTCATTCAGCCTAATGAGAAACTGTAGAACAGACTCAGTTTATATCACAATGCCTACATTTAGAGTCGGTTATTCATTCAGCCTAATGAGAAACTGTAGAACAGACTCGGTTTATATCATAATATAACCACCAAAAAGGGTTCTTCTATTGTTACAAGCTTGACATCATAAACGATAGAACCGCAACACATTCTCCTTCAATCTGAAGAACACTCTGAAGATGCAAAGAACCCTTTAATCATGAAAAGGGTTCTTTGAGTGTTCATGGTTTAACAAAGAACCATTTTCTTTGCTAAAGAACCCATTGGAGAACCGGGTTCTTGTGTAGGGTACATTTATACAGTGTGTTTATACGGTCATAGGATGTGTATTTTACAACGTGGCTCAGCCAATCAGATTTAATTTAGAACCACTTTATAACACTAATAGTATTTGTAACCATGTAATAATGTAATTAGGTGTGTACTTACATTTAATAATGTCATGTAAATCCAACACATAAAACTACACTAACAACACTAGATTTCTAAGAGTTCTGCACTACTTAGCACCACCACTAATGATACTAAAGCACTTTAAACTCACAGTTCTCCACACTCTGTGCTGTTTTGCATGAAAGAAAAAGTCAGACCGGTCAGTATGACAGACAGATCAGTGTGAGAGTGCTCTGTAAAGGGGTGTGAAAGGTCAGAGAGCAGTGTAGTGTGTCTGGGTGCGTGTGGGGTGGGGGGGGGGCAAATGGCCCTGGGTCAGAAACCGCAGGAGTAAGCATCTTCACAAAAGCCCAGTGATCAGATAAGGCCTGGACACAATACTGAGCTTTGGCAATGCAAACAGAGCTGAAACTCAGCATGCCGGATCACTCAGGAACAGCCCATTCATATTAAACCACACTGTTAATGCTCTCACTGAGTCTCAGTGACAATACTATGTACTATATAGTGCACACTACATGGTACAGTGCTTTGTTTTCTTTCCTGATACCGATGTTGAAACTTTGAGTATCGTCCGATTCTGATCTGATATCTTTACAAACTACTGAAGCTTCAAAATGAGCTGTTTTTAACTGAAGTGCTTCACTTGAGATGAAACATTACAGAAAACTCAGCTAAACTCTTCAGCTACTGTGCGAAACTAGATGGTTTTGAAAATGAATATATTATAATTTTAGTGTAATATTTATCCAGCAGCTTGCTGTTCTTAGAGAGGAATTCCACCCTTTTTTAGAATTCCTGCATAATTAAGCTAAATTAAACTCATTCAGAGTGGTTTGGTGTGAAACGCTCCGTTCTAGAGAAACTTACCGAGCCTGAATTGTTCACAGTGGTGGTGATAGGAACCAGACGTCCACCTCTAAAAGCTCCCTCACAGAAAGTTCCTACATGAAATGGTTATGAATTCACTGCCTGATGACTGAGACACTGTTTTATGATAGTTTAGAGAACTTAAACTCCATTCATGGTGGAGGGATACATGCAGGGCACTGTGAGGCAAAATAGTCCCCAAAGAAAACTTATTATTTCAGATTTTCCACTATTTTCCATCATCAACATTCCATATAAACTCAGAAGACTCGTGTAGGTTCACTGGTGGTTCTGGATAGTAAATAAAATGGCTATATTTGTGTTGTAGCCATGGCGACCCCTGGTTCCTATCACCACCACTGTAAAGAGAGTCCCTACAATGAAATATTTCACATCAAACCGCATACATGTTATATATTTTTACATATTGCCATATCGCCTATTTGAGCAGGATATTCCTCTAATAAATGATCATCTTAAGTGCTTCAGCTCGTTGTAAAGCTTGATAGTTTTTAAAGATATCAGATCGGTATCAGCCGACATGCAAGGTTTCAGTATCGGTGTCAGTATTGGATCATGCCATATCGCCCACCTCTACACTGTATGATATTTATATGTATGTGATTGGGTGGGCAACATGACAAAAATATTATTTAACGATACTTCAAGGCATTTTCACAATTCACAATATGCATCACGATAATTTTTCTGAGATTTAATAAGTTAGAACAGACAAAATAGAACCTGTAGTGCCGCATATAAACAATACTATAATAATAATAATAATAATAATAAATGTGCAACTACAATAATTTTTATTTAGTGTTTTACAAACTGCACTGCACTAAATCCAACAGGTCTAATTCTGCTCACTTTATAATGAAACATGCCGTCAGTCAGTGTTCTTTAAGTGCTGATATCCACAATATCCTCAGAAAAGCTTACTGACATAATTTACCATGATAACAATTAAATGTCCTCATGTTGCCCACCCTTAGCTTGTAATACGTTCTGCCTGGAGTACATTTTTCCTCTGAATGTTATTAGGATCCTCCTGAGGTTCTTAAGGAGCCGAAAGTATTCCAACAGCGCTGGGCAGTGAATTGGCCTCATAAGACTGACCTCACCAAAATAGTCCACACAGACAAGCAGGCTCTGTCCAGGGTGGTAGTTTAGAGGCGTTTGGCAGTTCTAGGCTGCAGTTTGAGCAGCTGGTGTTGGTACATAACAGTGAGCGTGTTTACACGCACTCAATCATCATAATCGGATCATAATCAAACTTCTGCAGTTATCAGATCATTCAAATGGTCACGTAAACAGCACACTCTGATTTCTTAGATAGGAGTAAGGTCTAGAAATCCGATAAGGAAATCTGATAAAGAGGCTGGATTTTAGCTCAGTAATCAGATTTCTCAGTACTGTAAACTCTTACTCTGATTTCTTTCAGATTTCTCAGTCTGAGCATGTGCGAAAACAGACGGTGGTACTGGAAATAAGCGAGAAACAGACTACATGCTTGACAAAATGAAGGATTTAAATATTAATCATCTTCTAAATTATGCATATTCATATTTTCAGGTAATGTGACGCAATGTTTTTAAAAAAAATCTGCTTATGAAGTTTGAGGTTTTTTTTTAGTTTATCTCGTCTTCTTCTGTGAGTTTATTGGCTGGTTGCAAAGCAGAAATCTGATTACTGTCTGACTCATGTAGACTGATTACTCAAGTGCATGTTAATGCATTGATTAGATTACAGACAAAATCTGAATTTTCTGCAGTTATCGGATTATTAAGTGCGTATAAACACACTCACTGAAGTTTAACAGCAGACTTACACGCAAGAAACACGTAATAGTGCCCTCAAACACATATAGGGAACTGTGTTGGTCAACGTGTACCGTTCCCCACACAGCAGTTTCAGTACATTATCTGGGTATTAAAAGTAGGCTACATCCTGCTGCCTTTCCCAGTGTGAACACTTTGCCCTAGAAGTGTCTAGTGCACTAATGAAGTACTCAATTTGAGACACAGCCAATATTTCAGTGTTGGAAGGTTCTTATAGGAGCATTAATCACACTGGAGAAAGACAGGTGCGGTCCAGTCGACCTCCGCCGATTACAGACGTACCTACGGCTCCAGCCGACAGGTCTATTATGGCCTGGACCACAGGGTGCGGTGCCATGGCAACGGGAGTATGGATTTCCCTCTGCGACTCCGGCTGCTTCTCTTTATCGGACCTCAGTCTAAAGGAGAATCTGAGAGAGAGTGAAACACAAAAGCATCAAGATTATTATTATGTATGACTATATATTGACATTTTTACCCTTCACAGCGCAGACAAAGTGCTATATTATACACTCTTGAAAAAGAAAGGTTCTTTAGTAAACAATCATTCTAGATAGAACCATGAACACTCAAAGAAAGTTCTTCAGATTGATGGAGTGTTGAGTAGGATTCTAATATAGAACCTGTTTGTAAATGCAATGTCAAACTTGTAACAGTACACTCTTTAAAAAGATGGTTTTTAAGGGTTCTTTAGTAAAGAAAATGGTTCTATATAGAACCATGAACACTTAAAAGAACCCTAAGCATGATCAAAGGGTTCTTTGCATCGTTTTCAGATGGAAAATGTGCATGAATGTGCAGATGGTTCTATATAGAACCTTTTTGAAAAGGGTTCTTCTATTGTTACATGCTCGACACCATAACAATAGAAGAACCCTTTTGGGTGCTACATAGTACCCTTTTTCAGAAAGGTCCTACATAGAACCATATACAGCACTTTTTCCATCAATCTGAAGAACGCTTTCATGATGCAAATCATGCAAGATGTTCTTTGAGTGGATCTTTATAGAACCATTTTCTTTACTAAAGAACTCCTGAAGAACCATCTTTTTTAATAGTGTAGAAAAACTATTTTTTCAAAAATGTACTAGAACCATACACAACACGTTCTCCACCAATCTGAAGAGCCATTTCACCAGTCAAAGAACCATTTTAGGTCCCTTATGTGTTCGTGGTTCTAAATAGAACCACTGTCTTTATTAAAGAACCCTTGAAGAACCTTTTTTTGAGAATATAGTGCAATGCATTATGCCAACAAGCCACCATCTGGTAAGGTTTTAAAGTCTGACCATAGAAGACCACGCTAGGCTGGTGACCACAGAGAGACAGATTCTCATTTTTCATTCATTCATTCTCTCTTTTTCTCTCTTTCTTCAAACAGTGACTGAGTTCAGAGTAAGAAAGTAAAGTTCATCACAAGGACACTCAGCATGAGGCTAAAGATCAGCTCTGCTCTTCTCTTTAACGTCTTATTAACTTCGACCGGGTGGATAAAGCTTCAGTTACACATTTACGTGTGTACCGTAATTATCTAGAACAGATAAATATATATTACTAACCATAAACCACACAACCGGCATAACCTCACATCTCCTGCTCAGCTCAGCTCAGTTAGCTACCGAGCTAAATACAGCACTACAGGGCAAGAAGACACCATAAAAAGTGACACTGAGGCGTTTATCAAACAGATATCGACGATCCTGTCAGTGTTAATCAGCTCCTCACTTCAGAGAAACTACTCAGGGTTTCAGCTGTAAACTGACCTCACTGTTGATCTTGAGCGGCTCCCATCGCTGCTATTCGGCTTTGATGTGGATTCTCTGCTGGAGCACGCTGTGTTTTTACCACCCATATTCCGGCAGGTCCCGCCCCTCCGGCGCTGCGATTGGCCAGTTTGCATTCACAAGCATTCCCTCGGTGTAGAACGCTGAAGCCCCGCCCCTCAAGCGCTGCGATTGAACGGTTTTGCATTCACAAGCATTCCGCCGGCCTAGAACGCTGAAGCCCCGCCCCTTGAGCCCTGCGATTGGACGGTTTTGCATTCTCAAGCATTCCGCCGGCCTAGAACGCTGAAGCCCCGCCCCTCAAGCGCTGCGATTGGACGGTTTTGCATTCACAAGCATTCCGCCGGTCTAGAGCGCTAAAGCCCCGCCCCTCCGGCGCTACGATTGGCTAACAGTTCCCATCTGAACTGATCACTCTCATGCCCTACGCCCTGCTCCCTATGCCCTCCACAGGGAAAATGGTTACGGACTGTAAAGGTAGAAAACTAGTAGTATTTCACTTAATAATAAAGGATCAGGTATATATTTTAAGATATACGTAAGTATGTATCAGATACTGGACACATATGCATAATATATAGATCATACATACATGTCTGATGGCCTACATGGTTGAATACATCCCAGTACAGTTATAATTATTACCATGTTATATTATTTAAATGTGACAGGGAACAAAACTGTTATTGATTTCATGTTTGAGTGATTTTATTGTATAGCTAACACTGTGCACGTATTTTGAGTTGAATTATTTAGCTGTTATACTAATTTTCTCTTCATTAGGACGTATATGGAAGAAATAAAGAAGATGCATAAAAACTTTGTTATATAATGTGAAGCTGGCAAATATGAGTAATATATGCCATCCATATGTGAATAATGTTTTCTATTATATATTTTTTAAACAGATGTGTTAGCATATGAAATATATGTCCCATATTTGAAAAAGGCCAATTTCAAATAAGCTGGCATATATGTCACATATATATTCATATGTCACTAATATAAGTTGGATATAAGGGAGATCCATATATGCTAATATATGTCGTAATTGCCATATATGAGATTTGGTCTGTTCTTTGATTGTTCTCAAAGTTTCGATGTAGAACTACTCAGTGAAGCGTTTTCTGTCCTAAGTGCCCTACATAGGCTGCATGTATACTGTTTGGAACGCGACCCTAGACAGCTGCGGCTTGTTGTGGGCGGGGCTTGTCGGAATACGGGTGGGGAAAATGCCGCTTGTGGTGCCTGATTGCATCAGTAAAGACCCGGTTTGAACCCGAGACGGACAGACTGGCGTTTCTCCATCAAACTGAGACGGGATGAGATTTTATTTTGTTTTATTATTTTAATTTGAGAAACAATGTGAAGTTTTATCGCCCTGCTCAAAACGACTTTAATTTAGATAGATATAAAATATTAGAGATAGAGATAAAATAATGTAAACGTTTGTAAAGGACAAGTGTGCTGCTGAAATAAATATTTTAAAAGGGTCAGGATTAAATTCAATATTTTGTAAAAACTTTGTTTTTTAAAAATGTTTGATGTAAAAACCCTTGCGTTTGCGTTACATTTAGACCGGAACCTTTGTTCACTGTCTGCCAAGTTCCCTCCGGATGTTTTCCGCAGAGGTGCAGCGTTGGTGCATGGGGACCCTGGGTGGCGGTCATGTACAGAAGAGCGATATTATCTCTTTATCAGCGCAGAAGCGCCTTAAGTCTCTCTCAGGACCCCCGACTCAGCCCCCCACCATGTAAATACCTGGCCTGTGTCCCCGTTTTCAGGTGAGTTAGCGCGTTTCTGCACTTTGTTTCGTGGCTGCAAGGTTAAAGGATTCAAGCGCCGGTTAGTATTAAAGGGGAACTCCACCGACTTTTCAACATTTCTACATAATTAAAGGTTTGAGATGTAAACAGAGAGATTCAGAGTGGTTTGGTGTGAAATGGTTCAGATGTCTGTACAGTGGTGGTGATGGGAACCAGGGGTCGCCATGACTACAACACAGATATAGACATTTTATTTACTATCCAGGACCACCAGTGAACCTACACGAGTCTTCTGAGTTTATATGGAATGTTGATGATGGGAAATAGTGGAAAATCTGAAATAATAAGTTTTCTTTGGGGACTATTTTGCCTCACAGCGCCCTGCATGTATCCCTCCACCATGAATGGAGTTTAAGTTCTCTAAACTATCATAAAACAGTGTCTCAGTCATCAGGCAGTGAATTCATAACCATTTCATGTAGGAACTTTCTGTGAGGGAGCTTTTAGAGGTGGACGTCTGGTTCCTATCACCACCACTGTAAACAACTTTCTGTTCTGATTGGCTGCCCTGCAATGCACCTTATTTCAAACCAGTCCAGCGTGAACTACTCATAACACTAGCCTGAATGGGCGGGGCTAATCTGCTGTAGGCTGAGAAGCTGGATCTATGTAAATGTGCTGGTTTTGAGTTTGTGACATCACAGAACACTTCAGTTTTGGCAGCTTGGACTGTGTGGACTGGGAAGTGAACTGGACGTTTTGAAACTTTAGCAGTGTTTACATTGGACACAAACACACACACACACACACACACACATCATTTAAACCGCTTATCCTTCTGGGTCGCAGTGGGGTGCTGGAGCCTATCCCAGCTGTCATTGGGCGGAAGGCAGGATACACCCTGGACAGGTCGCCAGTCCATCACAGGGCTTACGTTGTACATCAAACTTTAATTTAAAGGCAGAAACATCAGTTTTTCATGATATGAGCTCTTTAAAGTTTCTTGTTTTGCTTGAAGCTGATGATATTGCAGCGCCGTCACTGAAAAATAAAACAAATTCATTTTTACCTGTTTTTCTGTACTTCACCTGTCCCCTAGGGCTGCGGTCCAGGTGAGCCGGAGAGCGTTTGGGAGCGCTGGGGTCCAGCTCTGTGAAAAGAAAGAAGGAGCAACTGCTTCTCCTGCAGAGGAGATAAAGAAAGGTGAAGAGAGGACAGAGGAGCTGCAGAAGGAGTCCAAGAAGAGAGATGCAGCGTCTAAAACAGAGAAGGAGCTGAAGGACAAGCTTGAAAACAAATCAGACCAAGAGGCAGAAACTGTACAAACTGAAAACACAGTAAAAGCAAAAGCTCAGAGTCCAGATTTAAGAACAGAAACTGAATCTGATTCAGATTCTGATTCAGATTCTGATTCTGAAGCTGTGAGTCAGGCTGGAGGTAAAACAGAAGAGAAAAAGATCACAGAGTCGGCAGAACAACGGAAATCAACACCAGAATCACCAGAGAAAGCTGAAGATAATGAGGTGAAGACGGCAGAGCTGTGATGATTCACACAGTTCTTAGAGGAGAATTCCACCAATTTTTCCAAATTAATGAATAATTGAGTGTGTGAGACGTAAACAGAGAGATTCAGAGTGATTTGGTATGAAATGGTTCAGATGTCTTTACAGTGGTGGTGATAGGAACCAGGGGTCGCCATGACTACAACACAAATATAGACATTTTATTTACTATCCAGAACCACCAGTGAACCTACATAGTGGGACTATTTAGCCTCACAGCGCCCTGCATGTATCCCTCCACCAAGATTGTATTAAAATAAATGGATTAAAATGCGATTGAAGCCAAAGCTTTATCACAAAACTATCATAAATCAGTGTCTCAGTCATCAGGCAGTGAATTCATAACCATTTCATGTAGGAACTTTCTGTGAGGGAGCTTTTAGAGGTGGACGTCTGGTTCCTATCACCACCACTGTGAACAGTTCTGACTCGGTAAGTTTATCTAGAACAGAGCGTTTCACACCAAACCGCTCTGAGCCACTCTGTTTACAGCTCAACCTTTTAATTATGTAGATTTTTTGAAAAAAGTAGAGTTCCCCTTTCGGGTCTATGTAATGTGGTGTATCATTCGGTGCATTTTTTTGATTCAGCAAAATCAAAAAGTTCATGAAAATGTGCATAATATTAATATTTTAATGTTAATTTTTATACCCAGTATAAAGCGCTAACTGCTAAAATATTAGCCTCAATCTAACAGCAACAAGCTAATGTGTTATCCCTGATTTGATGTGCTGTAGCCATGAGCTAATATGTTAGCCCAAGTATAATAAGCTAGCCATAAGGTAATACATTAGCCCAAGTTCAATAAGCTAGTTGTGAGCTAATGCTAGCCCCAGTCTAATAAGCTAGCCTCAAGCTAATATGTTAGCCCCAGTCTAATAAGCTAGCCTCAAGCTAATATGTTAGCCTCAGTCTAATAAGCTAGCCTCAAGCTAATATGTTAGCCCCAGTCTAATAAGCTAGCCTCAAGCTAATATGTTAGCCCCAGTCTAATAAGCTAGCCTCAAGCTAATATGTTAGCCTCAGTCTAATAAGCTAGCCTCAAGCTAATATGTTAGCCCTGCTTCAACATGCCAGCCACGATACAGCCTTACAGTGTCATGATGTTGTATTGTTTACATTTGTAGAAGACGGGTAAGAAGGGTCTCCTGGAGCTGCTGGGGGCCATGAAGGTGGAGGTGACCACCAAGCGCAAACTCAAAGCCCCCAAGATCCAGCGGAGTGGGCAGGACGCTCCACCCAGGCCTGGGGAGATGGAGAGCACCACCAGCATGTTCCAGCAGGCCACCAGCGAGGCGGCGTCACAGAGGTGAGACCCAGAGAGGAACAGGGTTCAGGCTTTATACTGTTTAAAGGGCTCATCTTCTACACAATCACTCGCTTAATGGGAGGGCCAATTGGTTCTTCAAGGGTTCTGTAGTAAAGGGAATGGTTCTGTCATGAGTCTGCATGGTGAAATGGTACTTCACATTGTCTTGTATGTGGTTCTGTGTAGCATCAAAAAGGGTTCTGCTGTTGTTACGATATCAGGCTTGTTACAACAGAGGAACTCTGTGTGGTGCTAAATAGAACCATTTTCAAAAAAGTTTGAAGCATATTGTCCATCCATCTGAAGAACGCTTTCAACATTCTCTGTAGAACTCATGATGCTAAGTAGAACCCTTCCCATTACTAAAGAACCCTTGAAGAACCATCTTTTTTTAGGACTTTGAAACATTTTCCCTAATTAACATTGCACACCAAACACTGTCATTAAAGATAAGGAATGAAAATTTGATATTTTGTGGTACGGGCCCTTTAATGTAAAAGCATAATTAATCCAAACAGAGAAGTGTTTAAGTTATTGTGGCCCCGTCGGTTCTGCTTGGTTTAACAGGTAAAGTCCATTAACTGGTGGAGATGGTTTTAACGTCTGAAATGATCACGTATGTTGCAGTGAGACTCTGAGTCCAGAGCTCGTTGCGGCTGCTTCCGCGGCTGCGTCCACTCTGCCGGACAGCACTCAGGCCAAATCCGAGCTCCTCCGGCAGCTTCGGAAACATGAAGCCATCTCACAGGAGCAGAGAAAAGGAGAGACGCACGACATCGGGTGAGTCCAGAGCACACGAAACGCTGAAATAACCATACCAGAACTGACCACCAGGGGGCTCCAGTCTGCCTTCACTGATAATCTTTCTTTAAATCTTCTACAAAGAGCAACATTCAATGTTTTGCTCCTATTTTGAACAACAAACTATAATGTTTACATTACATTAAGTGAATTCCTGCATTATTAGTTAAGACATAATCAGAGCCGCTCAGAGTGGTTTGGTGTGAAACGCTCTGTTCTAGAGAAACCGAGTCAGAACTGTTCACAGTGGTGGTGATAGGAACCAGGCGTCCACCTCTAAAAGCTCCCTCACAGAAAGTTCCTACAGTAAATGGTTATGAATTCACTGCCTGATGACTGAGACACTGTTTTATGATAGTTTTGAGAACTTAAACTCCATTCATGGTGGAGGGATACATGCAGGGCGCTGTGAGGCAAAATAGTCCCCAAAGAAAACTTATTATTCCAGATTTTCCACTATTTTCCATCATCAACATTCCATATAAGCTCAGAAGACTCGTGTAGGTTCACTGGTGGTTCTGGATGGTAAATAAAATGTCTATATTTGTGTTGTAAGTTTTACATCAAGCCACTCTGAGTGACTTTGTTTACTTCTCAACCATTTAATTATGCAGAAATCTTGAAATTTAGGTGAAATTCCCCTTTAAGATTTACTTTAAGTGTCTGCTGTTTAAGAAATGTAACAGTTTTGAACTGACAGTCTGTACAGCTCTGATTTAATTTCATTATCAGTTATCAGCACCTTAAAATCAGGATCATAGGGAGCTTTCAGATCCAGCTCTGTCACTATTAAACACGATGGTTCTTCAAGGGTTCTTCAGTGAACACTTAACCATGAACATTCAGAGAACCATTTTTTTCTTGGCATGGTCAAATGGTTCTTTAGATTGACAGAGAACGTGTTGTATACGGTTATTTATAGCACGAAAGAAGCGTTCTGCTATTGTTATTATGTCACGCTTGTAACAACAGCAGAACCTTTTTTGGTGCTATATAGAACGCTTTTCAAACAGGTTCTGTGTAGAACCATGTGCAGCCCATTCTCCATCAATCTATAGAACCATTCAGATGGTTCTTTGAGTGTTAATGGTTCTATATAGAGCCATTGTTTTTTACTAAAGAACCCTTGAAGAATCACCTTTTTAAGATTGTACTGTTGTTTCTCAGGAACATAATTGCTGATATGAAGGTGGGAAGGAGGCTGAACGGCCGGCCGAACGCCAGACCAGCCAATCAGATTCGCTTTGATGAAGATGGACGAGGATACACGCACGACCGCGGCATCACCGGCGAGCTGGACGGAGTCCGCAGGAGGTGAATAACAAAAACAACAACAATAATAAACACAGTTCAATAATTCAGTGATTGTTTTAGTGTTTTCAGGTCTGTGGCTGCAGCGTAATGGAAAAGAGTTTGATTTCTTATTTTTCAGTGTTTCAGTTTGAACTATAATGAACTCTGTGGCGTTTTTGATTGACAGGAAGAATCCTTTTTTCACTAAAAGGCTGAACATCTTCCCTGCCATTGCAGAACAGGAGACGGACACTGATCTGGGTAAGTAAAGACTCCAGACTGCATGTCGCAGTCATGAAATTAATCCTGAAAAAAATCTACTGCAGTGACTTTGCTTTCATACAGGAAGTATTCGGACACTTTATACATCCTGTACAGAGAACACATTCAAAACTGGCATTAATCTGCAAATTTTAGTGCACAATTTCTGTTTATTTGCTGAGTTTAACTTATAAAACATGAAAAACTTTTGCACAGGCCACATTTTGATTTATTTCACCCCCAGTGTGTTACGTTCAGTAAACAAACAGTGTTTGCATGTTAAAATCTCTCTATAGAGGATGCATAAACTTATTTTCACTTGGAAACTCAACAACAACATGGATTTGCATGCTTAAATGGTTCTTTGAGTGTTTGTAGTTCTTTATAGAACCACTGTCTTTGCTAAAGAACCCTTGAAGAACAGTCTTTTTTAAACAGTGTAGCTGGGTAACTGAAATGTGCTATACTGTCCACACTGAGTGTGTTTACATGCACTAAATAATCTGATCTGCAGTTACCTGATTACACGACCACATAATAAACAGCACACTCTGATTTCTTAGATCAGATTAAGGTCTATAAATCTTATTAAGAAATCAGATAAAGAGGCTGGATTTTAGCTCAGTAATCAGATTCTCAGTGCTGTAAACTCTTACTCTGATTTCTTTTGGATTTCTCAGTCTGAGCATGTGTGAATACATGAATACAGACGGCAGTCCTGGAAATAAGCGAGCAGCGTCACCTGAAACCAAATACAAGCTTGACGAAATGAAGGATTTAAATATTCTTCATTTTCTAGATCAAATATATTTATATTTTCTGCTAAAGTGACTCGATGTAATACGTTTACGTCACGTCTTCTTCTGCAAGTTTATTGGCTGGTTGTAAAGCAGAAATCTGATTACTGTCTGACTCATGTAGACCCGGAGTTTCCCCATTATCTGATTACTCAAGAGCATGAAAACACACTGAACCAGTTACGGATACGATCTGATTTCCTGCAGTTATCAGATTATTAAGTGCGTGTAAACACACTCGCTGTGCAGCCCTAACATAAATCATCTTGTCGTCTTTCAGCCGCTGGTCCCACGCTTTGGGACGCCGATCTGGCCAATCAGATCGTCCAAGTGGTGAACCAGCGGCCCCGGAATGGCTTTGAGGAGATGATTCAGTGGACCAGAGAAGGAAAGCTGTGGCAGTATCCCATCAACAATGAAGCAGGTGAGTTTTATGTCTGTCCCTGCTGTGGATCGTGTGTGTGTGTGTATATATATATATATGTGTATATATATATATATATATATATATATATATATATATATATATATATATATATATATATATATATATATATATATATATATATATAAAACCATTTTTTCCATGATTGTTTAATCCACTTGGAGGAGCAACATGGAGGAAAAACAAATCGAGCGTTTAAAAAAATTTACCAAACAAGAACTTGAGGTGATGATATGAGTAAATAGCCAACAGGAAAAATATCCTCCTTAGAAAATAAGGTAATTGTGGAATGACGAGACGAGGACGAGGATGAGGAGCAGCAGAGGCTGCGTCCAAGTTTGATAATTGATTTAGATCAAATCTCGTCAACACTTGCAGTCAGAGATGAGAGTGAGGCTGTCGTAAGGGAAAGAACACATTTAAAAACAATGTTTTCGAGAATAACACATCTTAGAATTATTCTAAAGAAAAGTTTAAGTTGTTAAGAAAAAGTTTTTTTGTAGATATTCTTAAGATTTTCTTATGTATTTCTTTAAATACTTAAATTAATTTAGAACTAATCTGGTCAACTGTTACAGCCTGAGATGAGTGTGAGTCTGTCGTAAGGATAAGTGGTTAACAGTGTTTCAAGAATACCACTTGTTCTTAAGATTTTTTTTTAAGAATAATTCTAAGTTATTTGAACAATAAGAATTTTCCTTAACTTTTTTCTTAAGAATGAAGTTAAGAAAAAACACATTTAAGAAGATTTTCTTTCTTAAAAGACCTTCATGAATCCGACCCCAGGAATTGAGTTGTGTTTATCTGATGAAGTGTGATTAATTTGACTAGGAAGATGAACTACCAAGCTTAAATAAGGTCAGTTTAGATTTCAGGGTCACTTTCTGAATAAACTGCCTCAGCCTCGCCTCGAGCTTCTCACTGTACAGATGTTTTTCTTGTACTTTGCATATAAACCAAGACTTTGACTCTTTGCATCCTTTCTGTCTTCAGGTATGGAGGAAGAGGCCAGTGTGCCGTTCCATGAACACGTGTTCCTGGAGCGCCACCTGGAGGACGGTTTCCCCCAGGAGGGCCCCATCAGACACTTTATGGAGCTGGTGGTCACTGGCCTGGGCAAGAACCCCCACCTGTCCGTCAGACAGAAGCTGGAGCACATCGCCTGGTTCAGAGAGTATTTCCAGCAGAAGCAGGACGTTCTGAACGAGGCTGAGACGTACTGAGCCGCTTACTCAGCACAGCAACACGAAATACATGTAATATATTTGTCGAATGTAAGATGTTGATTACATCCACTGTGTGGTCTCTGCATTGAATCATGTCATTTTGTCACAGAGCTTCATTTGTTTTTGGTTTAATGCAAAGTGTTTTGCTTGTCTGTCCTATAACATAATAAATATTGGAATAGAAAAGACTGACTTTAGGTTTTTTTTAGTGTGTCAAACTGAATTTAGGCATATCTGCATTTTCTTTGGTTCAGAAAAGGAGAGCATGACACTAAAAATACACAAAAGTTCCAGTTCTTTAATGGAAACCTCTATAAACAATGTACATAATTATGTGAAGGTCTGTACAAAGAGCTTTAAAGAGTAATATATATTTATATGCATAACTAACTCAGGGAGCTCACTAAACACTTATCTGCCGTTTCAAACATTAACTTCAACCATAATGCAACAGAGCCCCCCGCCCCCCTTCAACACACCTGATAAGGCTGCTATCTTACAAACAGAGCTGGAACACCTCAGCAAGGCTGATATGTTATCTTACTAACTGACAAGTTTAGAAAATGGGTGAAAAAAAACAAACCAAAAGTGTCTGCACAACAAATTCCTTGACAACACCACAGCCTGATGTATGCTGATATTTCGGGCCCTGATCAAATGAGTCCGTTAACAAACAAAAAACACATCATAAAGGAGACAAAATTAAAGTAAACTTTGGCAACTTTAATATGCTTTATACACAGAGTGGCAGCCAGGAACCACACAAATTGTACTGCCTTAAGGACAGAAACAGCAGGAAAGGCGAGGGCTTCCCAGCCCAGAGGGCAACAAAAGCACGTCATCTGCAGGTCCTTCATCCACTGGGATGGAGCACCTTCACAGAAAATAGCCAGGCATCTGCAAAAAATAAAAACATTACATTTTAATACCTACTTATACAATGATGACTGGTCATTGATATGTTGCTTAAGAAGAGATCTACAATGCACTCACAATAAATTAAATATGATATTTTCACAATATAGGCTGCACAGAACTACACAAACTGTAGGGGGCGATATGGCTTCTACTGTTTCATTTAAAAAGCCTCTATAATGTTCATATGATCCACACAGTCACTCTGACAGACTGTAATACACTGCAGGAAGCATAGGGGGCGATATGGCTTCTACTGTTTCATTTAAAAAGCTCTATAATGTTCATATGATCCACACAGTCACTCTGACAGACTGTAATACACTACAGGAAGTGTAGGGGGCGATATGGCTTCTACTGTTTCATTTAAAAAGCTCTATAATGTTCATATGATCCACACAGTCACTCTGACAGACTGTAATACACTACAGGAAGTGTAGGGGGTGATATGGCTTCTACCGTTTCACACCATAAAAGAAGACATCGCTTATCAAAACTATGAATGAATGAAGAGCCACAGAGATGAACTAAAGATGGCAGTATAGGGTGATTTGTCAACTAATATCAGGTACAGAACAGGAAATCTGACCAGGTCAGTTCAACGTACCCATGTGGAGCTTCACCAGCGGCGGTAGCTGGTGGCCTGGCGTTGATGGGGTGGGGCTTTGTGTCGGAGCGTCTGCAGGTTTCTGTATTTGGACATGATGCTCTGGCTCTTCCTAAATACAGGCTTCTGATGAAGGGGTGGACGTGGAACGATGGTGGCCTTGAGAAGAGGAGACATCAAAATTATTCCACGAAACACTTCGGTTACATTCACATGGCAGTGGACCAAATCTGATCTTTCTTGGGCCTCTTTCATATGTGGTACTAAAACCTGATACATAGCAATGTGACCTCAGTCTGAACAGCTGGATGTGTTCATTTACACTGATTACTATATGGTCATCAAAATGTCTTTTGCCATTGTTTTACTTTGCAATCTCTGTTTCTGGAGGATAAAAACTGCATAAGTGGGTTTTAAGAAGATATTTCTTCTTAAGAATGGTTGGAAAATGAAGCCCATTTACTTCAAAAGATGTTTTTCGGGGGACGCAGAGGAACATAGCCTTCAATGCTATCCACTGTGAGATTAAAAAAAAATAAATAAATAAATAAAATTATGTATCCTCATTTTTCTTGGTGTAGATCCATGGACTTTGCAGACTAGAACTTAGAGGGGTTGCACAGACTTGTCAACTTTACTGCTCGGCCGTGACGCTTAAATCGTGACGTCGACGAGTCGCTGATCACGCGATTATGACACCAACAACATGGATGCCTCAGAGAAAACAGCAGAAGAGGAGCCTGGTGATTCCAGGGTCTGTATCTCTGGTTCCCTAAAGGCTAGCTATGCAATCCAGGGAATCCACTGGAAAGGACATCACGCTCTACTGACCTGTGGAGTTTGGCTTCATCACGAATTTTTAAAGTTACTTGCTGCAAAGCATTCCCTTCTCCTGTGATTTTTATTCATGACATCTTCTGCAATTATTCGACTTCGACTCAGTTTTCATCACATAACTGTCGACTTCTGAGCATGTTGAATCAACCCCTAATGCTTACACTTCGAGTGACCTGAAGACAAGTCTTTCTTAAGCTACCCAAGAAACCACGCTCGAGTTTCCTTCAACTGATAATGAAACGTTCAACGTTAAGCCAGCAGTAAACTAGAAGAATACCTGTAACACTCACCATTAAAGGTCTCCTGAAAACTCCATCAGGACACGGACCCTTCTTAAACCCAAGGTTTGGGCGAAAGCCAGGTTTCTATTCAAAAATATAAAGTTATTAAGACATGCGTGCAATTAGGTTGGATGTAAAGTGGTCACAGCTATAAGAATACAGGAGTAATGTTTGGTGTTTACCTGAAAAGGACCTGGCTTCCTAAAAGGCTTCCCAGGACCATCTGCTGGCCTGCAATAAAATACACAGCAGTAAGCATGGGGTTCTGCACAGAATGTGAAAATGTCCATTTACCACACACACAATGCAAAAATAAATGAATAAATAAAAGATTATTTACCGCCGTTCTTTCTGGTCACGTGGAGAACATCCAGGGCTATGCAGTTTGCCAAAGCGCTCACTCAGTGTTAGATTCTCACGAGAACTTGAGGTGTCTAAGAAAATATCAAAAAAAACAAATGACAACTAATCAAAATACAGTGATTTAAAAATCAAATAACTGTGGATAACTAAACTAAATCTGGCTAAAAATAGTCTAGGCTTGGGGTATTGTTTGAAATTGCAGATCTGGAATCAACTAACAATTCCTTGAAGAGGGTTCCAGCCGTCTCCAACTACCAAAACGTTTGTCTTTTTTTTTTTGTTAGAAGTTGCCAATAAGTTAGCTAGGTTACCAATAAGGCCAACAGCAGACGATGCAATTTGAAGCTAAATGCTTGACCGAAAACCATAACCTGAATGACGGCCGAATATAGTGACGTTAGCTAGCGTAGAAGCCCTTATTTGGAGATGCAAAAGTACTTGGCCGAAGTTGTTCTACCAAGACTGGACTTTCCAGCTACGTTAAACACAAAGTGGCTGTCATGCTAAAGATTTAACTTTTTTATAGAGATACAATCCCAATGTGCAAAATAATGTGCTTTAAAACTGAACCACTTTCATCCAATTCCTACAAAGAAGTGGCAAATGTCACAGCAGGTATTACCTGACTTATTCTTGGATGGCCTGTTCTTCCAGGGAGAGCTGTCTTTAGGACTAGAACTTGGTCTAGTTCCAGCCTCCCAATGGGAAACCACAACAAGGTCACGTGTCAGCTGTCTGTCTAGAGGTGAAGAGCTAAAAGGACGGGTGAGGTAAAAAGTGAGTTAAAAACAGTCAGGATGGATGAGGATGATCAAACATTAATACACATCATTACGAAAGCAGAGGACGGTGCACATGCAAAACTTTAAATTAAGACACAGCAATACCTTCCTCGTGAACTGAGGTGCAAGAGAGCAATGCTCATTCAAACAAAAATACTCAAAATCACAAACAGTCCTCCAAAACCAAATGTTACTGTAAAAAAGGCGGCAAATAACTAAAGATGGATCACTGCTATGGGTACTTACAGCAAAACAAGCCCATCATCTCCATGCTTCAGTTTGAACTGGCAGATTAGTTTTCTCTGATTCACTCTGGCTCTTAACGGTTTTCCTTGATCTAATGCGAGTAACTGACTGGGGTGTATTGAACGAGAAGACCGAGGAAAAGGCCTGGATCTGACAGACACGCTCATTTTTGCTCCTAATAATCTGTCATCCATCTTCTCCGGACATTCCATCCATTTCCTTTTTCCCCCTCATCCCGTCCTCTTGACTGGGAATTGCAAAGGTATTTGATCCCAAGTGTGTCCATCCTGTCAACAAGGTGTTTCCAACTTTTATGGTATACAGATTCATTCCAAAAGGTCACTCTTTAGCTTGAGGGCATCTGGACCATCTGGGGACATCCTGGAGGTACTAAGGCGAGGATCTTTACAAATTTGGTAGAATTTCATACGATGCTATTCAAGACAGTCACTCAGTTGTTTCAAGCTGAAGAACCTTGATGTTTTTTGATGGTGAGGAAAAGATGATATCAGTAGGGCTAAAGGGTTTTGCACATTTCTTCAGAAGTGGTCAACAAGTTCAAGCCTTCCAAAACCATCTCAACATGTTTCCCCTTCAGCTTCAGTGATCTCAAAAAACTGGATGTTCAGGAAAATGAAGCAGCAGACTTGCTTACTGACAATCCGTACCAGTTATCTTTGTAAACAACTGTATATAACATCTTGGATCCAGCAAGTCAACCCTCAACTCCACTCCGGTCTCTTGTAATGACATGGAAGGTTAGGTTACATGGGTTTTATACAGTGCTGACATATGTGGAGAAGAGCTTAAACGGCATCAGGGTGGTCTTGACTGAACACGTTGCCTCTGGCACAGAGATTATTCAAGTGCTAATATTCTCCTCTTGTTCAATTCTTGATGCCGCCTTTGGGCATCCCGACTTGACTTTCTGGTCTTGCACGGTATTAAAAAGATCTTCATGTACATACAGCACCCACTGGTCTGGTTAGCAGGAACTGCTCCTACCATTTCCTTCCAAAGAACTTCATTATCATTTGCCAAGCCTTCCATCTGAAAAGTGCAGGGATTCAAACAGGGATCACTCTCAAGAGGAATCGTTCAAGTGCTCCTTGGTTACTTTCGTCAACTGAACAGCTGGCATTCCAATGGCATCTTCAGACCTCCACTTTCCAAGACACACCTTCAAGTTTTATCCCCAGGGCAATTCTTGGACTGAATTTGCTTGGGCATATTGGGTTGCTGTTGCGTAACCACCTAATCTGATCTACCGTTCAGATGAAAGGAACGAAGTTCAAACTCTGTTGACAATGTGGGAGAGGCCTTCTTTCGGCACAAACTGGAAGACTGAGGCTTCAAAAGTAGCTCCTTAAAAGAGCTACACTTCTCTCACAGGTGACCTTGGCTCTGGGTATGACACCAAATGATGTAAACATCATGAGAAACCTTTTCAGACTGAGGGTTTTGGTTTTTCAAGTGGTACGAATAAGACCATACTTCCGGGAATTGTCAGAATCCCCTAGGCAATCCCTTTAGATATCCCTGTGTTA